AATAATTTTAATGTGCATTAATTTAAGTGCGCATATACGGTGTCCAATTAAATTCGCTATTATTACATTCTATATAAACAGAATGGAAATTTAAAAAAAATATATACATATAATAATAAAATGACTTCATATCTCTCATGTATGATGAAATGCAGGAAATAAAGCTCTACTATAAAAAGAAAAATTAATTGCTTCATCCATTATGGTAATTAATTCGTAATGAATTCCCGTCGGATTGTTTCAATATCATACAGTTTCATACATACATTTAATCATACATACCATATGTGAAATAGCAAATCATGGATTTTTTAATATTGATATTCTTGCCTTGAATTCTTCGCTGAATTCTAATTGTAGGAATCAATCATATTAAAGAATCACTGAGCGCTCACAAATTAATTTTCTGTACTAAACGCAGCCAATAATAAACTCTTAAAATATTTACTATTATAGTTTATTATTATAGTCTTAAAATGTTGTCAATCAAATCTTAATTAATTTAATCATCGATTAATGTAACCGGCTAAAGTCCATTTCTATACTAATAGATTTGATTTCGGTTCAATTTGCTGTTTATCTTTGTTTAATTCCTATGTCCACACTGTTAAATCTATATATTAATATACTGTTAATTATACTGTTAAAATCTATACTAAATATATCGTTATTTTATACTAAAACGTTAATTAAATTTGACACTTATCATGTCAATTTGACACTATATAGCGTCAAATATAATCATTGTTTTACTACAAAATAATGACAATAATTGAATAGAAGCAGATATAAAAGCATTATAGATTAAACTAATTTAATTTTCTTAATTCTTCTCTTAGCATTAGAAGAAAATAAAAAGTAAGCCAAGATTAAAATTAATTGATAGAAGTAGATATAAAAAAGATTTGTTTATTTAAAGTGTTAAGTTAATTGAGTCTATTCGAAGTCATCTTGATTATTAGATCGTAATTCCAAGAAAGAAAACAAGAGATAATTAATCAGAGATGTTGTGACATTTGTGATTACACATCCTTCGGCGTATTATAATTAATTAAATTGACAGGAAATCGCGGAAAAGCAGAATACAAATCGATGTAATAAAGAAAACGCTATCCGTAAAAAAATCACAATAATGGTCTGCCGCATATATAAATATTGCAGTAATCCATCGTTATGCATCGTATTGCTCATTTGTTAAGCAATCTCGCCAATTCATTCGTGATAATAAACATAAATATGTCAACTCACGCGTGCGATAAAATCCATGCACTTTGCGACCTCACATTTTTTTGTAACTCTTACCCGATTTCATTGAATTTTACTCAATACATATATCGTGAAGTTTGCACTGCAAAGAAATGCGTGAGACGGCGCCGATAAATTTATCTCCGTCGGAATGACAGAACGATGAGTAAGGAGAGCTCGCAGTCTGATGGATTAAAAGAAACGAGACTAAAGCGGAATAATACAAAGAACTTCGATTAAATGATACAATTGATTCCGAGAGGTTCACAAAAGATCGATCGAGATGTTGAAAATATAAGTCTCCTCGGCATAAAAAAGGACTGTCGACTATGTTATCAGGGCACGTTTGAGACGCGTTTCGCATTTAATTTAAGTATTTGTGTCTAAGTATTCTAAGTATATCGTGACTTGGATAGTAATTTGTAGACTATTTGATAGTAATTAATAATAATTAAAGTCTCATAATGTAACAGTATCAGTGATATATGTTAAAGTAATATATAGGATGTCTCAAAACTGATGATAAATATTTAAAAGATTCTTTGTAACATTTTTGAGAAGAAAAATCTAATACGAAAATGCTGAGGTTAATTTTCAAATGGAAAGAATTTAAAAATTACAAATGATAAGATTAAATTAAAGAAAAAGATATTTAAAAATTTATTTGTGAGAAATATATTTATTCACTTGAAATAAATCTTTACTTATATAAAATGTTATTCTTAACAAATAAGCTATTTATTTTATTTTTTTATTATTATGAGATATATTTCACAATAATGTACTTTATAATTAATGAAATGTAATTTATAATTAATAAGATATGTTTCACAAAAATTTCATTATTACAATCAAAACTAATAAAATTTTTTTTCGTAACCAATGATAATAACATTCGCAAACATTTGTAAACTACGCAATATTTCAACGTTTTCCTCAGTATAGAATTTCGTGCGCTCGCAGGGATGGCGCCGCAGTATAAAAATATGTAAAAATATTTTTTCGAACTTTATAGACAATAACAAAATTCAGCACCTTTACACTGATCATCTTACCATCGCTGAACGCGCAAAATTCTAGGCTTGTCATTCATAATTTTTAAATTCTTTTAAATTTAAAAACTATCATGGCATTTTCACATTAAACTTTTTGTCTTAAAAATGTTACAAAGACATGCTATATATATAAAATATAATAATATATATAGTAATGATATAGTAGTTTAATAATTAGTTTCTAGTAATAAGAATAAATAACTACACTATTATGTTATTATATCACTAAAAATTAGCCTGTATTCGATTTGAACATTTTCCTTGTTTTATTTCCATTTTTATCTTTGTCTAATGAGCAATAAAGACAGAATACAGAATCACGATTATAAAAGTGCTTAAAGTACATGAACGTCCAAACGTAGCCAGTCTGTTTTACCGATTACACTGTTCGACAAATTTAAATTTTTTTTCTAGATTATGAACGGGATAAAATTTTATTTTTTTGTCTCTGTAAATAAAATTGCTCTATTATGTCATATTTTCGAAAAAATTAAACTTAAAGATGCTGAAAATGGCATTTTTGAATACTTTTCAGCTAAAGGATCTTAACAATATGATGTGATAGAACAATTTCATTTACAGATTCAGTTTCAGCGATAAAAAAAATCTATAAGAATTATTTTATCCAATTTATGGTCTAAAATCCGTATTAAACAATGTTATTTTAGACACAGAACGAATTTTACAAATTAGACAAAGTGATTCTTATAGATTTTTTATAAAACCTGTATATAAGGCAAATTGTTACAAGTCGATTGTTAGAAGCCGATAACAAAACTGTAATTTTCCAACCTTTTTTCATCTTTGCAAAGTCGATCGGTTATTTGGATTACATTATAATTTATATTTTAATTGAAAAAGATTGTTAAATCCTTGAGAAAAATATTTATTTGAAAAATAATCAAAATGAAATAGACGACTTTAGGATCCCCTTAATCACATAAGTAAATTATAACTGAATAGCTAACGCAGTCACGACGCGCGAATATTTAAATGCAAAGTGCGCGCTCCAAAAATGTTCCGACTGCGCGCAACTTCAGTTGTCAGTGGCTGCGGTTGATTTGGACGCTTTCAGCGCTTTTCAGTACTTTTGTTCTTATTTTACATCTAATGAACGATAAAGACAGAATGATGATTACAAGCGCTTAAAGCGCGTGAACATCCAAATCGACCGCAGTCAATGTGTCCAAACATTAAATGACATAAAATTAATGATCTCGCGTGCGCAAATGACGAATGTATCGGAGTATACATGAGCAGAATCGTTTTAAGATTGATGTCTCGCCTTAATCGGCGATACCTGTAATTTTTCAGGGTTCCAGACGGTAATCTCTACAAAAAACAGCGAAGACGCCAATGTCGCCGACGGGAAGGTCGCCGCTTGATTATGAAACGCTTCAATAAATGACGTTTCTAACGGCGCGTCGTGATCACATTTATATCATTAGACGGATCCCTCTCGGGCTGAGTTTATCGATGAGAAAGAAATCCTGTTGCAATGAATAATATGCACTTATCGATTCGACCGGCACTTTTTCTTTGCAAGACGGTTTAAAAAAAAACCACGATAGCGAGGGCTATCTGTTGTGTTATCAGGAAATATGGAAAGAGAAAGAGAAAGAGATGAGGAATTTCTCAACACGCGAGAGAAAAAAAAAGGGGAAAGAGAGAAACAATCATTATTTCAAAAACAACGATTTTGATAGTATTGCGAAAATCGCGGGGATTTACGCACTCCGTAAAAGTCATCGCACGTAAAAAATGTTTAACTGTAACCGTAAGATCGTAAGCATATCGACCAATCGTGGTCCAGCGTTCTAAAACGTAGGACCGCACTTTTGACTGTGATTGGTCGATTTGCAAACAAAATGGTAACAACTAAAATCTTTTTTTACGTGTAACGATAAGTGATCCGCCGCCGATTCGCAAACATCCGCGAACACTCGCGTTTCCGGCTTGACTGCCGGTGGCTCTTCAATGCTCCGCAATTTCCAACTCGTGTGCCACGTATGTACATACATATGCACGCGTGGAAGAATACCTATTATCGCCAAGGACGCGTACCCCGTCGAGCTCTCGTAATTTGGTATCACCGTTCGGTATATAGACCTCAACCGCATTTAACCGTTAATTGTTGTCCGCTGTGAAAAAGTACGTCTGATAAATTTAAATATATTTCATCGATATTCGTTCATTTCGCTCGCATGGCAAGAAAGTATCGACGAGAGTTCGCAAATGATATTCGATTAGTAATTCCCGCAACGCGTCGAACCTTCGTGGCTACGATCTGAAGTGTGCTCCGGATAGTTCCGAAGTCGAGAGACCCAAATGGAACGCTCTGACGTTTGTCACAGTTGACGAAACTCGCCTGCGAGTACCCCTCATGTACCGCCGTGTGCAATTAAATCTCATTCTAAACGACGAGACCGCACTTCCGGCAACACGTACTCGAGGGAGTATCGCCGCCCGAACTTCTCTTTCTCTCTCTCTCTCTCTCTTTCTCTCTCTTTCTCTCTTACGGGAAACCAAACGATCTTCACGCGGATCGCAGGAATTAGTCTCGGAGGCGGGATATCGATTCTCGCCGAAGAGTCCCGAGAGCGGCCGATCGTTCGTGAAAGTGACGTGCGCGAGTAGTTGCACGAACGGCACGAGCTGTGGGTGAGTTAGCGGTGGTCAGTGGTGGTCATCTCGTCGTGGATCGGCTCGGGTTTGTTCTCCCCCGATCGACCCGATCGCATCGAGGTAGCTTCTTGCGACAGATTTTCCCGTCCCTCTTTCTCCCCTACGCGGGGAGGGAAGATCGATTCTTTCGTCGTTCATCGTTCATCGGCCGCGCACGCGGAAGACGAGACGACGGGAGACGACGCGTGATTGACAGTTGGAACGCGAGGACGGATAGAGAGGTAGACTTGACACCCCAGGTAGACTCAACGATTGGATAACGGCGAGTCGTAGGTTACTCAATGACGGGTGGTGGGTGGTTTACGATTAATGTTCCGCAACATGGGAATGGGTCACACACGCAACTCTCGTAGATTCGGTAACGTCAGCGCTTTACTCGCACCTGCGGCTTTACACCTGCGATAAGATCACCTTACTTTTATTCTTTCTACTGGGCGAACTAGCGCGTTCGATATCTCGGGATCTCTTCGATCCGTGGCTCTGCCGTTGTACAACATTGTTATCTAAATTGTAAATAGAAATCATGGCTCGACCCCTTGGTCTTTATCCCCCGACTTGGTTTCTCCGTTACCAGATAAATCCCATCATTGCGAGGCCATCGAGGATCGATCACCGTGACCTAACCTAAGCTAACCTTGAAGGCGTGAACTATCGCCACTAATTGCTCGATTGCAAGAGACGCGAGGTTCTAACGTGATACTGTCTCGAATACCGTGCAGCAGATATCGCTCTCTCCAAAATGTCCACTCCTCAGACTCCAGGTGAATTTTACTTATACTAACTTATTAAACTACCATCTATTGATGTCTGTTCGTTTATTATTGCCAGGCTGAAAATATGTTATCACTTATGTCGTCTGTTGTATAGAAAATATGTTATCACTTATGTGGTCTGTTGTATACATTATCATGCCCGATATATTTCTCACTTTAAAGTAGTTTATCTTGTAACTTAAAAGCTTTTTCCAATACAGACAAGCTTGGGCAGAAGTCTTACACAATACTTGTGTATAATAAATGAATGACAGAAGGTCTGTTCTTTTTCCATCCCCTTCTAAACTGGTGCAATAAATTAGAATGAAACAGATATAGTTTTTTCGCTCTAATTTATTGCTAATTCAGAACTTTTTAGAAAAGAATAAATCTGTTATCATGCAGAGAATGCAATACATTTATTCTAAATATATTTAATACACAGGTATGGACCCCTGGATGATCCAGCCTAGAGAAAGATTGAGATATCAAGAACAATTCGATTCGTTGAAACCGATCAATGGTATTGTCACTGGTGAGCAGGCAAAAGGATTTCTCCTTAGATCTCAACTGCAGCCTGCTATTCTTGGACAGATATGGTAAAGATATTATTTAAGGAATGTCTGGAATCTACCTTACAAGACGTTTCCTGATCCTTTGTTTTTTTATAGGGCATTATCAGACACAGATGCAGATGGCAAGATGGACATAAATGAGTTCAGTATTGCATGCAAATTGATCAATTTGAAACTGCGCGGTTTCGAAATTCCCAAAGTACTGCCACCTGTTCTTGTACAGAGTTTGAAGTCTTTGTCATCCGGTAGGTAAAAATTATACATGGACAAGATATATGAAATTTCATTGCAAGACATTTTAGGCGACGCTAACCTGACTGGATTGCCGAATGGTTCTACCGCTCCAAGTAATGTTAGCTCTCTAGTAAATTTAAGTGGACATCAATCGATAGTATCTCAAACTGTTGCAAGCGCGATACCCACGGCTGGAAATACCCTTATAGGTAATGTATCATTAAATGTTGATTTATTTTCTTATTATTCATCTTCCTGTATCTTTTGGTCGACAATTGTCAAGTAGATGCTTATGTGATACCTTGTCAACTAGTAAAAAACAATTTCGATTTATAAGAGATTTATAAGAACGTTTATAAGCACTCAGAAGATACACCTTTGCTCAGATATTCGCCGCTTATTAGATTCATTCAAATATATCAAACATTGGTACATATCATTGATATTCAACAAGCTTATATTATTACAATATCATATATATCAATATTCATCATTTTCATAAATTGAATTGAACATATCATTGTCAATGTTATTACTTTAGTCATGAAACATTAATTATCAGACATAACTGATCTGTGTTATTCATTATTCATCATACTACACAGCATTACAACAAAATAGACAGATTGTGGCTCCAAGCACACATGCCACAACTCATATATCGTCTAAGCCACCCGCTCGACCCGCGCCACCTTCTGTGGGTATGTTAATAGTACTGAATGTGTATTTTTGGGTCAGTTTGTTTCTTTTTTCTTGAAGCAAGCTTTTGTTGCTTGAAAGCCTTTTTATTAAAATGTATTTTCAACCTATTTTATTTGTTGATTATTATATACATTAATTACATTGTAATGTAATGTCAAAGGCAAACTTCCTTTCTAATTATTGTGTGTACTCACTATATTATGCACTATGATTTTGAAATATCTTCACAAATATCTCTCACGTATCTTTATTTATAGTACAATTTTAGTACAATTTATAATACAATTTTGTGTGAAATAATTATGATTTTTTTAAACATTATATGAAACAGATGCACAGTTTATACTTTTGATGTCGCCTGTTTTGGAAATTTATGTTGCAGTAAGAGCTTTCAAAAATACAACTCTTTGCTCAGACTACAAATTTATTTTTTTATGTACTACTTTATATTACACATGTAGGTATGTGTTGGACTTTGCGACAATAGATTTTTTAGCAAGTATAGTTATGAAAAAAATTCATCTGCATCTTGATTATATATACATATCACTTTAGTATTATTTTATACAAAAAGTCATAAAATTAGGAAAGTTTTTATAATTGCCTGAACATAAAAGTAAACGTGTTTGACAATTTTGGTTGTTATGTAAATAAAAAAGATAGTAATTTTCTAATTGTAGAATTAGAATTATTATTTGTTGAGATGATGTGCCTTTTACTTATCATCCACTTGAGGAGTTATACTTATATACCGTTTATGTACTTACAATTATATTTGCATTTCGTCTTACAATCTGTTTTGCTACTTGTTTAACAACTTGTTAATAATACTTTATACTTTACGCGGCAAAAAAAGGAATCGCGCCTCCTCTTAATACCAATAGTCCCCCGCAAAGACCTGCACCACCTACAAATTTCGGTATGTTTAAATAAACCACAAACTCAATATGTATTATTTATGATTAACACAATTTTTCTTATTACATTATCCAGTATTGATGGATGCTACGAAAAAGAGCATTAAAATACTCGCACAATCTTCTTGCTCGTGCTTATTAATCTGTCTCCTTTTTTTTTGTATTTGTCATGTAATTTACCGAAAAAGTAATGAATGTCGCTTGGATTTAAATAATCAGACATTTATAATTATTGTCTGATATACTAATTGAAACGTATAATAATCACGGAATTATTTCAGGAAATAATTTTACGGCAACGACAGGTGGTGGTCCGCCACCAAAACCAGCACCACCTTCGTTTCCAAATAGTCCTACAGGAATCTCGCCAATGAAAGTTACAACTTCTGTCGTTGGTCCTGCAGTTGTTTCTGCGTCCCCATCGATACCTGCCTCTGGAATAGGTAAAAAATAAGAATAAACTTTTTATTAAAATAGATATACATAAATTATCATTCAATTTTACTTATCAATTTTTAATTAGGTATCCCATCAGTAGCACCTATCGCCCCTTTAAACACAACTCCTGTACCAATTGCTGCCTTTAATATGGCACAACCAATGCCGACGCAACCGTTAGGCATGGTTAATGCAGGAATGGTTACTTCTATGACTGGCATTCCTAGTATGGTACCATCCATTGGATCAATAAATACAGGTGTGTACATATAAAACAATATTTTGTGATTTTATTTGTATTCACACACGCGCGCGCGCTTTTGTGTGTGTGTGTGTGTGTGTGTGCGCGTGTGTGCGAATTATATATATAAATTGTATAATTTATTCTCTTATATTCTTCTCACGCGCGTGTGTGTGTGTGTGTGTGTGTGTGTGTGTGTGTGTGTGTGTACATGACCTTTATTGTTTCTCTTCGAAGAGCTTTCATATATTTTAGATCTTGACATTACATTTTAACACTATTATAATGTAGAGCAATTTATTCATTACAATATTAATTTTTATTTTCTTTTTTTAGGTACTGGAGTTTCTCCATCAGTAGCATTACCATTAGTATCCACGACAGCGAACGGAACATTGGTCAATGGGGCAATCACACAAACGCCAGTATCTACGAATACACCTTTGAGTACAACAGCACGTCCACCAAGTATAGACAGAGTAGGCTCCGTGGATTCACAGCACAGCCAGCATTCCGTTGGCTCTCCACAATCTGTAGAATGGGCGGTGCCGCATCAGACCAAATTAAAATATACTCAGTTATTTAATACTTGGGACAGAACGAGATCTGGCTTTTTGTCTGGGCCTCAAGCAAGAAATATCATGGTGCAGTCGCAACTGCCACAACCTATACTTGCTCAAATATGGTACAGTAATGAAATACTACAGTATAAGATAGCGCGTACAAAGTATTATTCTTTATACGTATTGTAGAACAGAAGAGCAAATTTCCAAAATGTATGTCAACAGGGCTCTAGCTGATATGGATTCGGATGGACGTTTAGGTTCTGAGGAATTTGTGCTTGCAATGCATCTTTGCGATATTGCTAAAATCGGTGAAAACATACCTACAACGCTTCCACCAGAACTTATCCCGCCCACATTTAGACGGCAACGTCAAAGCAGTTTAACGCTATCTCAAAATGCAACAGAAAATATCGATCCATTAGCGGGCATGCCACAGGTATATGTCTAATATAAAAATATCTATTGCGCAAAAAGAAATGGAAGGAAAAAAGATATCTTTTTACAGACTTCATTTGAAGATAAACGTAAAGAGAACTTTGAGAAAGGTCAAGCGGAATTAGAACGTAGGCGTAAAGCATTATTAGAAATTCAGCGAAAGGAACAGGAAGAACGGGAACGCAAAGAGAGGGAGGAGGCTGAGAAACAAGAGAAAATAAGGCAAGTAGGTCTACTTACTAATTAAATATAACGTAAGAAAATTTTGCGTTTTGTGATACAGACTAGAACAGGAGAGGCGTAGACAAGCAGAAATCGAGAAACAAATGCAGAGGCAAAAGGAAATTGAACAGGAGAAAGAGGAACAACGGAAACGTGCGCAAGAACAAAAAGAGGCAGCACGCAAGTAAGTTGATTATACAATGTTAAAAAAATAGTTGTATCTATAGATTTAAAAGCAATGCTGCTTCGTGATATTTAGGGAAATGGAGAGACAGCGACAATTGGAATGGGAACGACAAAAGTCACAAGAATTGCAAGCACAAAGACAAAAAGAGCAAGATATTCTTCTCAAATTAAAAGCGAAAAATCAGACCTTGACCATCGAACTTGGAACACTTGTAAATATAATAGAAGGACATATACTCAAACAGTAACTATTTCAATGATCAATCCTTACGTTATCTTTCTTTATCTTTTAGAACGATAAAGTGAAGGAATTGTCACAAAAGATTTGTGATACTCGAGTAGGAGTATCAGGTGTTAAAACGACTATTGATGGTATGAGATCAACGAGAGATACGCAGTTACAAGAAATGGCCGCGTTAAAGAATAAACTTCGGGAACAAAATCAAAGATTATTAGCATTGAGTCAAGAGAAAGCACGTATTGAAGCGAGAAATAAAATTAATGCGGCGCAAGATGCAGCCGGACAAGAGGCTATTAAAATGGCTTTTGACAATAAACAAATTACTCTTAAGCAGATGAAAGATAAAATAATAGATTTACAACAGCAGGTATGCGTGACGTTTATCAATATCATCGTAACTGTTTATTAATATTTTATCAAAGAAATTACATGATTTATAATTTATCTTCGTGTTTTGATACATCTTTAAATGTCAATATTTCGTGAACATTGCAGAGCGAGAAGCAATCTAACACTAACATTGAAAGTTGGCATTAATGACATATCCAGGGTTGCCACAGACCTGGAAAATTAAGAAAACCGGGAAAAGTTAGGGAAACATGTAAAAATGTCTAAAATTTTGAAATTTGCTCACAATTTCCTTAAACTGCTCCTATTCCAGACAATTAATTAAATTGTTTAACATTTTCTGATGTTTATCTGATGTTTATAGTGAAATACGTTCAAAACTTACACACTTTTAACGATTTTAATAAAATAATTAAAATTATTCAGTATTTTTATTTGATTGCTCTTTTTCGTAACTGCATTCTTTTTTCCAATACTAATTTATTTTTTATTGGCTCAAATTTGCACTTAAAATTTTAGTATGCTACTAAGCCTTTTTTGCCTTTTTAATAATATAGACTAGATTTTCTACAACTCTTTAAATGTGTTAAAATTTGCATATTTTACATTGGAAAATTTTCCATTGTCATCTGGGATGCGTTCCAAAACTTGACTCTGTCAACTCCGAGTATCTTTTATCTTTATTCAACATTCGGTGACCAACAAGGATAAAATGATATTTGACAGAGTTGAATTTTGGAAAACCTGGAAAATCAGAAAATTTTAAAATTTATTTTCTGTGGTAACTCTGATATCAAAACACAGACGTTACCTGTAAATCACGTAACTTCCTTGAAGAAAACATCCGTGAAACCTGAAAAATATTAGTAAATAGAAAAGTCAAAAAACACGAGCAATGCATTTATTGGCTCTTCAAATATAAATTAGTTCATTAAAACAGGAAATTTCCTATGAATTTATTGATGAAAAACTAGTTGAATTCTTAATGTATGTTTTAATGAACTAGTTTATATTTAAATTTTATTCAATAAACGTTCATGTTTTTTTTTATCTTTCTATTTACTAATTCTCACTTAGCAGTATCGAGCTAGAAAATTTTATATACTGAAAAATATTAATATTTTATTTTCATATGTATTTTTCAACAGATCGATTCCAAAATGTCTGATATTGAAAATAATAATACTCAACTTGAAGATATTAAAACACAAATGAAAAATTTAGTAGTGGATTGTAAACAGCTTTATGTTACTTTTGATGAAAAAAAGCAAAAAGTAATCGAACTTCGGTCAAGCAGTAATGTCTCAGCTGCCGACTTTGCCACATCCGCATGGGGTGATAGTGGTTGGGGAGATGCACCTGCCAGCGATACAGCTTGGCCTGTAAACGACACTGCTGCCAGCCCAGAAAATGAAGCTGCAGTTGTAGGTGTCCGCAAATACAGAGCTCTTTATGAATTTGTGGCGCGAAACCAAGACGAAATATCATTTCAACCTGGTGATATTATATTAGTAAGTAAACAATATGCAATAAAATTACTTATTATTAAAGAGAAAATTGATCTAATAGTTAATGTAAATATCTATGCTATAGGTACCACCTGTACAAAACGCTGAACCGGGATGGATGGCAGGAGAAATTCGTGGTCACACTGGCTGGTTTCCCGAATCTTACGTGGAGCCAATTGATACTGGTGCAACTGATTTGGACAACGAACGTACTTTTATACAACAAGACAGTGTAGAGAAGAGAACGTTAGAGTTAGTTATTTTTATCTATTGTTAATATGTAGAATTACATGTCACATATCACCTAATGTCGACCTTTTTATTGTGATTATGCAGAGGAATAGCGGAAGTTCCCGAGAATGTATCTGATGCGGGATCATTAGGGGGAGAAGCCCCAGTAGTGGAAGCTATTATACCTACTTTAGGATTAGGTACACCTTGCGCTATACAAGTTACAACTTTGTTTCCTTACCGACCTACTATGGAGCAACATCTTTCCTTTGAAAAAGGAGAAACTATCAATGTTTCTGAGCAACAGGTTATTATTATATTAATTATAGAAAAAATACGTTTTGTAAAGCATTTGTTTTTATTCAGGACGACTGGTGGTATGGTTCAACCAACACTGGAAATAATGGTTGGTTCCCCAAATTGTATATAAAAGAAGTAATCACAAGCACCAAAGACACTGCTGCTGACGGTCTTAACGAATATTATGTTGCTCTTTATCGATATGATTCGACTGAAACCGGCGATCTTAGTTTCAATCAAGGTGAACTTATATTAGTTACGAAAAAAGAAGGTGAATGGTGGACCGGTTGTATAGGGAATAAAAGTGGGATCTTTCCGTCTAATTACGTAGAAAAATACAACGTTCCCAGTCAGGTATGTTATAACTAATATTTCTTGCATATTTTGTTTTTGCTAGTTTCTAATCATTCACTCATTTTTAAGTGGAAATTAATTGCTTGATTCAAAAGCGCGCAATTTTTTTTCTATTAATTCATTTGTTTTTATTAATCCATGTTTGGAAATTTCTAATACAAATATGTGTGACATCAATTAGGATGTATCTTTATCTACTAACGTTCAGTCTACTACTGTTGCTGCAACTGAGGAAACAAAGAACGAAACTGATATTATGGCGACCGTAACAGCTCAAGTACGTAATCATAATCATTCATTTCAAATTATATTTACAATTACATCCTGCGTTTTACATGTGTTGAAATGCTAATGTTATTAATCTATTATTACTGTATTTATATTGAACAAAATGATACTGCAGTGATAAAACTTAAATGACATAAAATGTGCATGTATATAGCAGGTAGAGAAAACGGCAGAGCAGCTAGAAGATGAGAGAGCAGCTGCTGAAGATAGAGCGGAATTACCAGATTTTACTGCTATGGCCGCTCAGCAGGTAAAAAAAAAGCTTCTAATATACTCATACAATTTGAACTTTTCTAAGAGTGCCTTTTATAATAGTGTAATTGTTTATCACCTCTTTTATGCTACTGACATCCTGATAATGCAGTACTACAAGGTATATTTAATTTATCATATTACATAAATTTTTATTATTATTATAGTTTACGTAAACTATTTTTTTTTATTCTTCAAACAGTAAAATAGTAAAACTTTTAATATATCGAGAAGTTAATTTTATTCATGAAAAAATTTTTCTTCACAGAGAGGAAGAAAACCAGAAATTGTTCAAGTTATTGCACCTTATCAAGCAACAAGTTCAGAACAATTAGACTTGCAAAGAGGACAATTAATAATGATTCGTAAAAAGACTGACAGCGGTTGGTGGGAAGGAGAGCTTCAGGTAGTAAGAATAGAAATTTTTTCTTTATTACACAATGTCGTATTGTTAAATTTATAATTTGCGCATTGTTTATTCAGGCACGCGGTAAAAAGAGGCAGGTTGGTTGGTTCCCAGCAACTTATGTTAAACCTTTAACTAGTAGCAGTAATAGAAGTACACCTGTCTCACATGGATATCAAGATTCTCCAACGGATCCGAATATTGGTAAATAAATTCTGTAATATTTTACAATTCAAAATTGTACTTGTATGTATTTGGATTAAACTATAAAAAATTAAATTTAAAGAAGCCTAATAAATCTCAGACATAATAAATCTATAGCATAAATGTTTTATTTTACTTATAGAACGCGTTATGGCTCTGTATCCTTATCAAGCACAAAATGAAGATGAATTAAGTTTTGAAAAAGGTGACGTTATATCGGTACTTGCTAAGGAAGAGGCGTCATGGTGGAGAGGCGAATTGAATGGTGTATCCGGCGTCTTTCCGAGCAACTACGTATCACCTATGTGTAAGTATTCCTTTCGTACGTGATTGCTGAAATTGAATCTCAGGATCACCTTATGCCTTTTAATGTTATAAATCGTGCAGTGTGAACATAGAAGAAAATTATGTACTGTAGCGGTAACATATTAAATTTCTATACGTACTGACTGCACGCGTGTAAACATGAGAGAGAGAGAGAGAGAGAGAGAATGATTAAATAAATTAAAAATAGGGAATAAAAATTTAAAAATGCGAAAAATATTAGGTGTTGGAATTAATTCGTAGCGTTTTTAATGAAAGAATGTTATTTATTTCACATGAGCATTAAAAAATACATTAATGAAAGTACTTCCCATCACTTGTAAAATGCTACGAATTAATTCCAACATCTAATATAAACATAACTTCTGGCTACGGATAGGCGGACGATCATCAGGTATAACAAGTTCCAATTAAAATTATTATTTATTGTATCTTTTATCTTGTTATCATTATCATTATCAGTACTATCGCTATTATTATCTCATTATCAACATTATCACTATTATCATTATTATCATTATCATTATGGCTATTATTATTATTATCATTAAATTATTTTATATTAGGCTCCATCTTCAATTATTTTGCATTTGATTGTTTAATAACTTGCAGAGTAAGCAAACCAGTTGGTAGGGTGCATTATTGCAATTATTAGTAAACTATTAAATAGATACTTAATTTATATTATATTATAAGTTAATAGTTTGTAAGATAGTAAAGCTGAAAGTATGTAGCGTATTCCCTATATTTTCTTCTGAATATAAATAAATATATATATATATTAGGTGTTGGAATTAATTCGTAGCGTTTTACAAGTGATGGGAAGTACTTTCATTAATGTATTTTTTAATGCTCATGTGAAATAAATAACATTCTTTCATTAAAAAACGCTACGAATTAATTCCAACACCTAATATATATATTTATATATTGTTATCGAGTGTTAATAGAGAAAAAGAATGAATAATATAATTTTTTTATAAGCTCAATGTAGATTACAAAGATATTGAAGAATATATTTTCTCTATCAGTTATAAACCTTGTCTGAGTTAATGATATCATTAGAAAACTTTTTTTTTTAATGTAAGTATTGTGTAAAAATGATGCGTTTGTTTGTCCCCGCTTGTACTTTGTGATAACTACCATTTTTCTCATTCTAATACATATGCGTTGTGTATGGCACTGGTTACTGGTATATTACAATTTATAAGCACAAAGAGATCGCTCACACACTTATTGCTTTATGGTTTACATTAGAAATGGATACAATAGAAATGGATGCGACAGATCAGACATTCTCAATTTATGAAACAGCCTGCCTATCTGCCTTGCATGTCTACCCATTCGTTCGTCCGTCCGTCTCTCCGTCAGAGGTAGCCGTTTCCTTGATCACGATTAACAATAATAACAATTAACAACTAACATCGTGATCGATATAGCTTGCGATTTCATTGTTTAAATATAACAATACGTAAATTATTGCAGATTATATTTTATAATTAATTTTTGTATACATTCTTTAAATATTCTAGTGGCAGTTATGTTTTCCCAATTTAAATAAAATTAATAAGAACATTTCTGAATAGAATTCTTATTTGATTTATAGATTTCAAGTTATAGATTTCAGTTTATTGTTTTATATGCGTTTAATTGCAAAAATGTCTTATAAGAAAACAAAATCTTATTATTTAGTGAAATACTTTATATAACTCTGTCTTTTGAACGACAATTTTAATATGTTAAAATAAGAAGAAATGCTTTGAGAAGAACAGCTGCCTCAATTTTTTTCTATTATTAGTCTTATAATATGTGCATTTTGTAATCTTTTTATTAATTATTATCTTTCGCTTTTGCTTAACACGCAGCATAAAGGGTAGCCGAGCAGCAGAACAGCATTGCTGGTTAAAATTAAAGCACCTGAAGTGTAATAAGAACAATAGAGCAGCTCCTACATTCGGCACGGCGTGCTACGACAACAGAAGTCTCATCGTTGGAGACATTGTGCATGAAAAAAAGAAAAAAAAAGTGAAAAAGTGAGAGGTGTCGGAGCAAAGAAAGACAGGGAAATAGGATGAGGAGGGAAAGGAGTGCGCGCATGTGTGTGTGTGTGTGTGTGTGTGTGTGTGTGTGTGTGTGTGTGTGTGTGTGTGTGAGAGAGAGAAAGAGAGAGAGAGGATAAACGAAAAAGACTCAGGGTTGGCTCTTCATCTCTATAAATATAGCCTCTACTTATACATATTATACAAGCCTTTCCCTCTGGTGCGGGGTTGCACTCATTCCTTCATTAATGTTATCATTCGGATTGTTAACATGAGTCATATAGCCTTTACCGTTTTACATCTTCAAACGAATTTCCATCCGAATACTATGTTCGTTAGAATCAATGCGCGCATGTACCAAATCCAATCGTTAAATCGTTTCATTAGTGTTATGACCACCTGATATATCTGCACCAACACCAAAGGTCTACCTCAGTTCTCTATCTATGCTGACGTACAATTAAGAAATAATAATATTAAATTATTAGCTTATTCATGTTAGAAATATTTAACATTACGTCATGTACGAATACTATTGTTACTTAAATGTTTAAGTGATTTGTTAAGTTCATGTTGGATGCATACTGCATCCCGTGATGTCCACGTGCGGCTCCACGTTAATGTATTCAGGTCGATTTTACGTTTTATTTTAAGAAAAGAGTTTTATTTAAAGAGTTTTATTTTAAGAAATTCAGTTTACAAAATATATCAAATTGAAAAAACATTTCGAAAAAGGAAGAAACAAGTGTTTTATCATTTCCTTGTTTCTTCTTACTTCGAAACATTTTGGTGGTCGATCAAAATTTAAAAGATTTAATTCGATCGTCCCTTAGGATTTAAGATTCATCACTATATGTTTCTGTTATTTCCTCTGTCTGTAGTGTAATCTGCGTTGATAACAGTTGCGTGAGATAGGAATGGTTGTTAGAAAAGTAAATGATTATTAAATTTTGTCTTTTATCAATATTATTATATAATGTGCATCACAGACCGTTAAAAATCGCAGTTGTCTCACGCTGAGGCCTAGAGGATATGTAAAGGATGTGTGACGATCTCATGATCAAATATTCCGGTGATTAGCTGCCACGATCAGAAGCGATACAAGAGAAGAAGGAGCTCTGAATGTCTTGTACAATTTCATATGATGCCTGACATCATGCGCGGCTTATTACGTCTAATAAAAGAAATTAGCGAACTACGCAAAAGTATTCTGTTCATTTGCGTAGAAATTTTATGAGAAAAGAAGCCAAGCGATATACGACTTGATTACTCGCTGTAAATTCGGCATAATTTATTAATTTTATTGTTCGATTTTTAGTTGTATTGCTGTAAATAACAAAGAAGATTAAGGATAATATGTGCTCCTTCTTCACAGCCTTTTACGATAGAGCCTAAATAAATAAGCACTACGTGAACAATAATTGCCGAGGATCACTAATAATGAGCTATAAGTAAACGATAGTATTGACCACGTGATTCAATGAATAACGTTATTGTAAATTAGTTTTTCCATCGAATCGCATTCCTATATGTGTATTAATCGACTGTTCATTTTCTGGATTGTAATCGGCGTCTTATTCGTGTAATGTATTACTATTAGCCCGTTAATATACAGTGCTTCGTTACAAAGAATTTATTATATTAAAAGATATATTCAAATGTTTATTGTTTCCGAAAAAAAAAGATCCTTGAGACCCGCATTAGAGCCTACATTTTGCACCGAGTTCGGCATACACGCAATTACGAAGCTTTGATACAACAATGACAATTTAACGCTCGATGAATGTTTTTACGAATGTTCGCAAAAGCATGTGGTCGGTCTGGCTTCCCTAGAGACTTCTTGAAGCTCCAACCATGAAATCATTTAGAGAAACGATTCGAGATAGCTGATTCGACGAGAAATCAAGCGCACAACGTATTTATTCATTGCGAGAACTTTTACGCGTTCTATGTAACCCTCCACGACAGAAGCGAGTAAATACGTTATGTCACAGTGGCAATAATTGTGTGCTTAATAATAATTCCAGACAACCAGTCCAGCATAACGTTATACAGATAGTGGAATGGCGGAATGTCTAAAGCAAGTTATGCAACTGGTTATCCTTAGTCGATGTAGCCGTGTAGCGCGTTATACTCCTAAGATTGTTACTATTTGCAAGTTGTTTGTTTATTCTAATATCAAATCTCATCAGAAGTCTCACAATAGGGTACGGTGTAATTTGGAATGTAGTGAAGAATGTTGTAAGAGAGTATGAATTCTATGTGTGACTACGAATCTTGTTCACACTTTATATACATATATATATATATATATATATACACACACACATATATATATATATAGAAATATTATGTTGTGTTTCCACACACATATGTACGCCGATGTTCTTATACATATGTAAACATATCCATATGTGCATAAACGGATACGCATCTCACCGCTGATCGAAATAAAATATCTGTCTGTTGTAAAATTATTATTAAAATTATCATTCTCGGCTTATCGAAATATTGTTTCAACATACATTTTCTCTCATTTTCGCAATGTACAACCAATATGATAGGAAATATTTCAATCAAGACATTGTCTTTTATCTGATTAGCATATTCTATTAGATCCTAAAATATAGACCAATCAAATGAAAGAGCTTACCGAATGCTCAGTAAGCGGTTGTGTCGTTCTAAATGCACTCAATACTTTCATTATTTAAAAATAACCGCCATTTCCCGCTTTAGAGCAAAAATTCAACCCACAGAACAATACAAGTTAAAAAAAATCATTTAATGATTTTACGTAAAAGAAACATTTTGTGTATATATTTTATGCGTAGCAAATGAATTGATGATCGATACAGTGATGTATCATAATCCTATGGAGAGAAAACGCCAGGAACATATCAAAGAGCTAATCGTGACTGAACAAGCTTACATAGAAGATATGAGATTAGTACATGAGGTAGTCTTCTCCATTTTCTTTTTTAAATTCTTATTTATTCGTGTGATTCGTGTATTTAGGATATTATGACGTATAGTTTTCTTTCCTTTCATCTACAGATTCTTTACACATTGATTTGAAGTAGATTTTATCTCCAAGAAGTATTGTGATTGTTGAAAAAGTTATTTTTTTATTACGCATTTATTCAAAAAATGTGATTAAAGAAAATGTGTGGACTTCAAATTGATCGAAAGGTCGAGGAAGATGAAGGGAAATTTAAGAAATCTATGGAACGCTGTGGCATACATATTTATATATGCATATTGTACATTTTTTAGGTATTTGAAAAACCGTTAATTGAAAGTTTAGTCCTAAGTGTTGACGAGATAGAGAGGATATTTATCAACTGGAGAGATATTATTGCATGTAATGATAATTTCTTGAGGTAATCAGAGCTCGTTAATATATTATGACAGAGTATACCTTCTGTCGATGCTACAATTATTAAAGGAAACATGAATGAATTTCTTGCAGGACTCTAAGGATACGAAGAGATAACAGTTATAACGGAATAGTTCGAATGATTGGCGATATATTGTGTGAAAATGTAAGTGTAATCTTAAATGCGCAGTATAGAAGCAATCTTTGTTATAAATCTGTTTACATACAATGTATGTATTTCGCACAGATACCTAGGATGTCAGCTTACATAAGATTTTGTAGCTGCCAAATATCTGCTGCGACATATCTGCAGCGTTTAACGGAGACTTCGCCAGAATTCGTTCGAGTCGCACAGGCATGTCAACAAGACCCGCGAACGAAGGGGATGCCGCTAAGTTCATTTTTAATTAAACCGATGCAAAGGATAACAAAGTATCCGCTCATCATTAACAAAGTATCCACTTCTATTTGTAAATAATTGTCGTTCACGTCATATACCGTAATGTATGTAACACGGTAATTGTAGATTTTAGACTATACGCCGATAGATCATCCTGATAGGCAGTATCTGCAGGAAGCATTAGCCAAGTCTGAGGAGTTTTGTACTCAGGTAAAAATAACAGTATAAAATAATTAACATATTGTAATATATATCTCAGCACACACAGAAGAAAAGAAAATTGACAGACTTATGTTATCTAATATTATACATCACGTAGGTAAACGAAGGCGTTAGGGAAAAAGAAAATAGCGACAGACTGGAATGGCTACAATCACACATTATATGTGATGGACTTGAAGAGCAGCTTATTTTTAACTCGTTGACGAATTCCTTAGGACCACGAAAACTGTTACATTTCGGTATACTTCATAAGGTAATAAATACTCTTTAGGAATGTTGAAAATCTTTGTATCGCATGATTTTACTATTGCAATTTTATTACAGTCAAAAAGTGGTAAAGAACTCGTCGGCTTCCTCACGAATGACTTCCTACTATTCGTCCAATCAATAAAATTCTCCTTGAACTGCCAACAATTTTCATTCGAACGTAACGAGCATCAGAAATTTAAGATGTACAGGAAGGTAAATATTCAATCGAATAAAAGAATAATTTAAGTCAAAGTTTTTCGTGTAATTATACAATGTCGTTATCGAAAAGCTGATTTTTCTTTTATAGCCGATATTTCTCAATGAATTGTCTTTGTTCGGAGAAAGCGATGGAAACAGTAGTCTGAGCGGAAGTGACGTAGCAGACAATTCATCGAAAACTCTAAGATTGAAAGATCAAAAAAAGTCGATAATATTATTAGCACCGTCTGCCAATGAATGTTCACTATGGTCGAAACGAATTATAGGAGCACGTAGGAGGTTTTTAGAGAATGAGAAGAATTGCCTGCAAAAACAACGATCAAGTAAGTGTTATTTATAGTTAATTAACTATTACAATTATTGCAATAGTTAATTTAACACTGAATTTGTCGAACATTGTGTACTATTCGTATTTCTGTAAATTGCTTTTCGACGTGATTTGAAAGTATATATTATACGTTAGTAAACACCATGTTGGGTTGGTTGTTTACATAGATAATTGTGAAATTTAAGAAATTCTATATTCAGTAATAACTTATGGTTTATGTGGGAGCAGAACAGGCGCAATTTGGAGCGTGCGGCAGAATTCTTGTCACTGTACTCGAAGGTTTCAACTTGAAAGTTCCGTCCGGTAAGAATCTGAGAGTATTGTAGGTTGCTTGTTATTGCTTCTTATGTCTTTCTGGGTAAAGCTTGATGTGCTTTTTAATGTTTTTCTGTGTTTAATGCTTTTGCAATTTTAATGACTGTGATAAAAAATGTATATAGTTGCATGTGTTTATCCGAAGAAGAAAACGTATTAATGAAAAATCAAACCAGAACATATTTTGTGTATCAATTCTAAGATTATCGTTGCATGTAACGCTTTACTACTAATAGAAATCTGCCATGGTTGTAGTTCGCAGAAGACTTCCACAAGGTAGGCTGATGTTAGTAGTTACGGAGGCTGAAGATCTCGTCATTGGCATGAAAGGTAAAGTATCGAAATCCTGATTTTAAAACAACTTTAAATAGCTCATATTTCATATGAAAAGTTGATTTGTAGATTAATTTTATTGCGCTTGTTAATTCTGACAGTTTTCACACGTTTCTATTGCACATTTCTCTTCTTTATTATCTTCCGTATTCTAAATTATACTTGTTATCCATATATTCATATTTCTAGTTAAAATAGTAGTATAAAAAATAGTAATGTTCTTTATATACATAATATATTTAAAATTAAATACTTTTGGCGAATAAAACTGTAAAAGAATGCATGATAAAAAGTTAGGTATTTTAAAATTATGAAAAACAATTATTAAAATATCTCAATTTATATCTTTCTATAAGAAAAGAGATTAAGCTTTTAAGTATAGTTGAAAAATCCATGAATAAAGGTAAGTATACTATATATGGCATGACACTTGAGGACTATGCACAATTACTATATAAAGGCAAAATTAACTAACGCTTGAAAGGAAAAGAAAAAAAAATATATATATATATACACACATACAAGGTAGACCATTTTAGTTTATCCAGCCGATTTTCTCAAAATTTTTAAATTTAAGATGAAAATGTTTCAGATAAAAATTGTTTAATTACTAGGGGAAAAAAATGCTGACTTTGTTTGATCTTGAGATTTTGTCTAAAGCATTTTTAAACTTAGATTTTGAAAAAATCGATTGGATGAATTAAAATGGTTCACTCTGTATATATTTGTATATTAGAATTTGCTGTTTACGACAGACTGATCATGCATATATCACATGCATATGTAATATAAGTGTTTTTTTCTTTTCTAGGAAAGTGTAATGCATTCTGCAAAGTATCTATGGGCTCTCAAGAAGAAAGAACGGGTGTCGTATCCGGAAGTGATTGTCCTTTGTGGGATGCGTCGATGCAGTTCCAAGTCAAAGATTTGTTCGAGGATACCCTTTGCATCACCGTGTTCGATAAAGGGTACTATAGTCCTGATGGTAAGTCTTTAGTATGGAAATTAAATAATTTCACACAAGTATATAAGAAATTAATAATTAATTTTCTAAATCGGTAAACTTTGTAATTTTTCTTATGTTCGCGACGTTGTATGTGTATACTATAGAGTTCCTTGGCCGCGCTGAAATTAGAGTGGCCGACATAACGAGAGATAGCAAAAATTCTTGCGGACCAATTCAAAAGAGAATTAAGCTACATGAAGTTGAAAGTGGCGAAGTCGTTCTCAAGCTTGATCTCCGATTGTTTGGATAAAATGTATGTTACGAAAACTTCTAATCTAAAAGTATACGCATTTATATAAAAATTTATATAAGACTTGTATGATAAGTACGTAATAGAAAAAAAGAAAAAATGCCAAAAATTAATTTTTCCTATCTCCTTTCCTTTCCAAAAATTCAGAATAATTTTTAGATTATTTAATCTTTATGCACATTTACATAAAAAAATAAAAATATACTGAATACATTATATGTACATATATGTAAATAATATTATATAACTGACTTTTTTAAACATAAAATTTTGCGATGTAATAATATAAGCAAGAAATGACGTGGGAGAAAGTGTAAGGTTTAATTTTTGGATTTTTTATGTATATAATGAGAATATTCAATAAACATTACAAAAGTATTGTCCATAAAAAACTTATATTAATATTTTTATTCAACATTTTAATACTTTCGATACGTTTATACTTAGCGATACGTGCATTAATATTTTCTACGTATTTCAATACTTAGCTGATGTTAATGCTACCGCAGAGCATAGTTTAACAAATGCTAGTCATTGCATAAATCATATATCATTTTATATCGCGACGTTCTTATATATTAAGCGGAATAAAAATAAAGTACAGTCTTCTACTGTTCGAATTAACTCTATCGCGAAAAATCTTTTCATCGAGCAGCGCACAGAGACATTCGCTCTTCATTCTCTTTACTACGCGCATACGTTTCCCTTTCGTTTTTGCTTTCGCCAACGTTTTCGTTTACATATACGTGAGAAGAGTAATAATGAGTGCGAGCGAAATGTCCAAGAGCAAAACTCAAGAGAAAAGAAATGAAGTGGCCGATATTCTTTAAAAGTTATCCTCTATCAGGTACAGGCAACATTTCTTTGGAGTGCCTGGGCATATTTATCTCTGTGTCCATATTGGCGACGTCGTGACGCTCCACGTCCTCTGTGGGAAATTCGTAGAGCGGCTTGAAACCACCGAAGAGCTGCGGCTTAAAATTATCAGCATCGAATTCATTCCTCTCGGTCTGCGTATCGTTCTCCGAGTCGGCAGGTTTCTCCTCGGCGCTACCACTATCCGATTTCTTCTCCGCTCCTGCGGGTGGTTCGACGACGACGACACTCCAACCATTCTTGCTGGGCGTTTCGGCGCTTATACTAGCCACGAAAGGAGCCATGAAGTTTTGCGGTGCCGGTGCTGAGCTAGAAGAGCTGGATGGCTGCTGCGAAGGCAGTAGCTCTGTTTGCTTCGCGTCGATGCTTACGGCAGCATCACCATCGACATCGAGTTCTTTGTCAAGATGTGCCGGATGTGGCGCGTGCGTCGGTGTGTAAACATAAGCGATCGGCGTCGAGGTCGACGTCGACGCGGTTGATATCAAGCTCGACGACGTCGCGATCGGTGGTATGCGATGCAACGTTACGGAGATCGCCGCATCGTTTTTCTTTCGATACGGTGAGAAATCCTGTAAATATGGAATAACATTCACCGCATCGTTTTTCTCGTTCTCTCGCTCGTTTGCAATCGCGGCGGAAGCCTGCTGTTGTTGCTGCTGTCGCTGTTCGCTGGGTATCAACACGGGTGTCTCCTTCACGCCGACGGGAAAGACGGAGGATGGATCGGGCCGTTCTAGCGGATAGGGGAAGTCCAAAGCAACTGGTCTGCCACTGTAGACGGTATGCGTATCATCCTGTTCATTTTGTAGCAGAGTATCAGGCGGTAGCGGTCGCTGAGGGCCTCGCGTACCCACGACGACGCTGCCGTCTTTCTCATTGGAATCGTCCGAATGTATGTTGACCGCGGTGTTGACCGGGTACACCACGTACACGGGTTGTTCTGGTATTTCGGACGGATCGTGATTGTCCGATTTTCTACGCTCCGCTTCGTGCGCAAGCACAGGTTCCACGGATTGCGCCAGTTGAGCCTCATCACCTTCGTCGCCGAATTCACCATGATGCTGTATCATCTGCAGGGTCGTGACGCGCGGTGGATCCGCCGTTCTACGTTTTGGGAACAACGGTGGTCTAGGCGGTGTCATTGGCGGTTCCTCCGGATATTTTTCCGGACCTTCACTCTCGCGGTCCGCAATCTCGCTCTTACCCCGATCCTCATTTCTGCTTTCACTGCCCTCGCCATCACCACTATGAGAAAGCAATCTATTCGACGGTGCGTTCTCCTCTGGGCGCGATATGGAATTAGGTATCCCGGGCAGTATCGGGGGACGAAGTCTTCGTATCGTCGGGTCCATCTCGTGAGGTAGGATGGCACCGTCCATCTTCGAAGTCGGCGTGAAGGCCAGTTTGACAGCATGGATCGGTGGCGGTGGTGGATTCAAGCGCTGAAGATGCAAGAGTGGCGGATGCGAGAGTGGTGGTAGCGGTAGAGGTCTTCGTGACGGATGAACCGGCAACGGCTGTCTGATCCTCGTGGGTACACTTTGCCCGGCTGCCATCGTTCCTATTACATCCGGACTACGATGACCATGTGACGCTTTCGCGTTAGGTCGGAATTGGGGTAAAATGTTAGGCAGCTTCGTATCCGCTGGATATGGACGTTTCCTTATTCCCACGTCCATCGGAGGTACTGGACCCAGATGCGGCTTGATACGCGGCGGCAAGGGTAATCTCTGTGGCCTCACTTGATTCGATCTCGGCGGCTCAAACTGGTAATAATAATTTGACGGCGGTCTGGTGCTCTCTGCGGGTGGCATCAGATCCTCAGCGAGCTGTGGTATATTTGCGACGACGTTCGCGAGAGGATTGAACTTCGTTTTGTTCATTGACGTCGACGTTGTCAATGTTATTTTAGGCGGTAATTCGTGAATGCTGCCATCCGCTTCATTTATGATCACAGTGTGCTCCTCCTTCAATGTATTTTTGTTCTTCGTTTGTTCTTCTTCCGGGAAAATTACGTAGCCGGAATCCTTGCTTGCGTTCTTCGTATCTTGAATTACCGTGACGGCAAGAAGAGGGCTTTGAGGTCTTGTCGGACTAATTTCATTGCTGTTTTTCAGAGGGCTAGGACTGGACCACTTCTGCGTAACGCGGTCGGGATTCAATTCGGTAACGGAAATAGGCAAGTGCTCGTGTTTGACTTCTTTCGAGGGATTGTGTGGATCATTACGAAGCGGCCAGAATATATTGGTCTCGGACGAGCCACTGTAAAGATTTTCTCCAACGGCTGTTCCGACCGAATAATAACCACCGTCGACGTTTTGGCGATTTCCCAGAACAAAGGACACCGTATTTTGATCCGGTGGTACCACGATGTTACTCGTGCTCTCTATCACTGGCGCTCCCATTCTGTTAGGTTCATCATTAAATTTGATTATCGGATTCGGTCTGTATCTATTGAAGGGTGACGATGGGCTAATCGGATGGTGCGATACCGTTGGGAATTGCAATGGTTTGTTCGCAGGTATGTCTTTTTGAATCGTAGATAGCGTTGAAGATGCGGAACGCAAAGGCGCAACCGTAGTCGACATCGTGGTTTCTACTGATGACTTGGGAACCGTCGACGTTGTAGTGATGCTTGCAGTTGTCGTCGACGTCGTTGTACTGGAAGTGGTCATAGTTGATGTCGACGTGTCATCTTCCTTTAATAAATCCAACCATAAATAAGAATAGTTATCTTCATTATTGCTTTCACCGTTTGACTCGTAGATATCGTACGACTCTTTATGTTCTTCGTTTTGCGGTTTCGTTTCGTGGGCTACTACCAAATTGTCAAAATTCGATTGATCCTTGTAACGACTAGTGACCTGCACCTTATCCGTTGTCCCTTCATTTGGAGACTTCGTCGAAACGTTGCTTGAATTTTGATAAGATCCCGTGTGAGTGGAAGCATGCAGCTTTTCTATTGGTAAAAGGTTCTTCTCATTTTCCGCCTCAAAACGGTCGATTGAATGAAATGTGATCGCAGTATTGAACGGTTTCCACGTAGTTACAACGGGTGCTTTAGTTGAGGTAGAAAGCGCAGAGTTTGTCGTGATCGGTGATGCGAAAGTCGTTAAAGGACTCGTAGTGCTTGTCTCTTTCGTTTTAAGATCGTTGACAGTCGTAGTTCTGTACGTGCTCGTTTTTGTCGATGGATAGCTTTTGACGGGATGTATATATAGATCGCTCTCCGAATGTCTATGATTGTACGTGCTGTAACTGTTGGTACCGCTCTGTACCTTCGTATTCGCGTACGAATTCGAGATCAACGGGTACTTATCATTTCCATATTTGTCCGAAGAATAATGAACGGGTGAGTTGAGGAAATCGTGAAAGTTAGGTGTGATCTCGTTCGGGCCGTTCCTATCCTTGTTCCTTATCTTTTCCTGCCTTGCGTACACACTCCCCTCAACACCCCTGCTATCATCACCGTCTTTGCTTTCTTTGTCCTCTCGCTCGCGATACCGACCGGTGTAGTTGAGAGCTTTGACAGGCGGTGCCTTCTCGAAGTCGATCTTACCGGTTATCGGATCCTTTTCCAGAGAGAATGGTTTGCCGCCATTGAAGGCGAAAGGCGGGATATGGTAACGTGGAACACCGTCATCGCCGGTTGAAGTCTCAGTGTCAGCAGTAATGGTGCTCTCTGCCGCAACGAGATCCAGGTCAAGGTCGTCCAGACGTGTTTTACGTCCCAACACGGAAGAGCTGTCGATTTTACCGGATCGAGTCGTTGACCCCGCATTGTTGTCCAAGTGGCCGCCCATCAGGTATTCACCTGACACACATACCAGAAGGACGAGGAGCATCCACAGGCGTCTCCGCATCTCTCATATATGATGCCTGGAAAATCGTGCTTGTGATCAATCCGGTGGTATGATAAATAGTTCATAATATCTGTGCAATATAATATCTATAAGCTTTCCTTTTCATTAATTTATTCTTATTTTCTCACGCCAGCTTTTCGCATCGTATTAGTATTTAAGCGACGATAATTCTTATCTCAATTTCAAATGCGGGTGTTGCATTTCACATCAGTGAAAAAAATGCATTAAAAAAAAATATGCGACCTACATCCAGTATGATTAAACATTGCGACATAATTAAATTTGTGTTCCACTTACACACGTTTATCTATGGAACATGTGTACTCATAGTGCAATCATAGCTTAGTTTGTTAGATATATAGTAAGCTGTGAATGATTCCGGAAATATTACTGTAAACGCGCGTCATGTGTCTTACGGTGTAACATAGTAATGCCAAATGAGACTTTAATTATAAATGTAAGACTATTATTCCGAACAAGTTCCGTTTGATCAATTGCGAGTAAGATAAATAGGCGGTAGATAAATTCATGCGTCAATTTGGTAAGGATTTATATACGGGATGCAAATTCGCACGTCAACATAAACATTCCGATAAATTTATAAACGTATAAAACAGTAGACTATATTACGTCAAGTGGAATTCCGTTTCGATGTATAACGGGTTTTAGTAGCTTCTCTCCTCTTCCGGCATCGTCTTTTTCTTTTCTATTTCTACGCGTGTCTGTATGAATTCGTTTTGTTTCCTCCTAATTTCTATGGATCTGATAATCTATCATTTTTTTAGTATATAGTTTTAAGAATGTATTACACCAATTTTTATATAAATAGGTCAATACTTTATGCTTTATTTATACTTGAAATAAATTATATATATATATATATATATACAAAAGTAGTGTTTATAACATTTTATTTTTATTCAACAATGCATTTTTATGATTTGTTTATTTTATTATTTTTTATTACTATAATATGTAAACTTTTGAAAAATAAAAATCTCAATTTTTTTTGTATAAGTATTTTAAGTATTCAAAATATTTTATGCAAAGTTTTATTACAGAGATTTGTAAATAAACAAATAAATATTGTTTATTTACAGAATAACTAATCTCTGCATTGTAATGAAACTTTATATTAATCATCTTAAATATTTAAATTATTTAAAGTACTCATTTCTCAAAAAATTAAGATTTTTGTTATTATTTTATAATACATTTTTATACATGTAATTTAATACATTTCCATTAAAGCAAAAAATATTACTTCTTATTGTAATTGAAATAATTTTTTGTCCAAGTTCTAAATCATCGGTAAATTCTTTTACTTTTTTATTACTTTTATTATAAATGCGATCTAGAACAATCTGTAATCTTTTTCATTAGTTTGAAAAATGTGTAATTCATTCTTAATATCCAGGTCGAATAACGTTGCATAGTGACATGTATTCGCCCGTTAAAATCGTCTAATGCCGTTCACTATTCATAACACGGATTGTAACAACGTTCATGGTCGTGACCCGGTGTCTCGGTATTTTCCGACATGGTGAATAGGACGCGCCAGGTGATGTTGGTCAGTATGACCCACTTTGTTTCGGGGTTTTGTCCTCGAATTGTGTAATTTCAATTTCGCACGCGAACCTCTAGAATCACAATGTTTTTCACACATAATCATTTCGTTTTCGATTTAGAGTGACTTATTCGCGAGACATGTAAATAATATGCATATAAATTTCGAAGTTACCAAAGTATCTTTTTTCTAAATGATTTTTTTAACTTATGTTACGATCTGCTAAATATTTTAACTTTAATCCAAACAGAGAATTAAAAACATAAATTATTCATTAATGTACAAATGAAAGATTCTACAGATCCCTATTTAATTTTACTGTTAGATTTAGTCACTTGACGAATCTATCGCACAAATATTACTAATATCAAAAAATGCTTTACTATTAATTATATAAATATAACAAATAATTTTTCACAAAAGAGGAGTTGTTATACCTCAATTACGTGGAAGAACAGTATAAGGTCACGGACGGGTCGAGGCCACCTTTCAGCTTCTCGCAATTCCTACTTTTGTGATTGTTCACTAATTTATCCACACACGATTTTCGATGTAACATCTGATGTTTAATCAAACATAGCAATCGCGTAAGTTTGTGCTAAATGTGACTTTGTTGAAAAATCACTTCTTCCTTGGATGCAATCAACGTGGGTAATAAATCAAAGCCGCAAGAAAGAACGTAACCCTGGATGAAGGTCGTATAACGACTGAACAGTCTTGTCGTCAGGACGGTAACAGGAGGACGAAGAGATGGCAAGAGGACACGCGGTGGAGGAAGATCTCGCTCCAAATGACCCAAAGAGTAGGAGAACGCCGCGGCCATCCGTAAAGTAAAGAAGAAACGAGGAAGCGAATGATTACAGAGAGGCGATAGCTAAAACCCGGCGTGGTATTCAATAAGATAAAAGGATAACGGAAATCTGCATTTACTTACAAAATGCGTAAAAGGCGAATGTCGCGAAGATAACATGAACGAACGCTCTTCATTCAAAATACACTTTCTATCGAATGTTTTTACAAAGCTTTATCTTTATGACGTTAAAAACTATTTATTAAATCATATACAACGGTGAACTCTTAATATCAAGTCACGATTGGGTCATTCATGTCTTATTCATTTCTTTTCTTTGAAATAATAATAAGCTAAGAGCTATTTGATTAAACAATGGTCTCTATCCTTTCTTTTTTTTAATACAAAACCTCACAAATTTTTTCTAAAGACATTAAAGTATATGTAAGAATAATACATAATTAATAATTTTTCTGTACAAGTGACGAAAATTAATCCAGATATGAACGACTCAAGAGAAAAATATTAGGTGTTGGAATTAATTCGTAGCGTTTTTAATGAAAGAATGTTATTTATTTCACATGAGCATTAAAAAATACATTAATGAAAGTACTTCCCATCACTTGTAAAACGCTACGAATTAATTCCAACACCTAATATTTTATTTAAAATACAATATAAGAATGTTTTGTTAAATTCAAACGCGAATATTCTCCCTGTAGACGCATAATATTATTTAATATTTTAAGCATATTCTTAAAATATTAAATGTACATTTAGTATTTTAAGAATGTGTCTATTCGCGTTTGAATTTAACAAAATATTCAGCCTATAAAGCTGTAATAAAAAATTTTGCATGTACTAATGACAATTAGTTTCCAAAAATTTTCAGTAACAATAAGGGAGATTCTCTCTAATGAAGAAGGCATAAAAAGGGCGTGCTATCACGATTGTATTGCCGCTAACATTACCGTACGATGTAATGTATAGCGTGGGGTACACGGATATCATCGTGTAGGTGTCCGTTCGCTGTTGCTGCTGCTGTCGAAGGATATACAGAGTCAGGGGCGGAGAAACGGTACGTAGAACAGTTAGACGACGACCCACATCGAGCAGAGTGCCTCACAGCGGCCGGCGTACCAGTTTCTTCGACCTTGCACCACAACCAGACACCACAAACGATCTTCTAAAATTTTATGAAACTGTCGAGGGAATGATTCATTTACCTTTCCTGAAAAACAACGAAATGTCATTAATCTATGATCAATCATAATGATATCCAGAGATCCATTAAAAAATTCATGAGAATTCCACTTCACGAAGACTCGAGTCGTAACGAAGAAGATAACATCCAGACGTTTCAAATTAGATTGAAGATGATTTCTGCTCGATTATGTCTAAGTTCTTTTTCATGATATCGATAGCTTAAAAAAAATATATATATATATATATAACGCGATATTATGAAAAGATTAAATTCAGAGATATCTTTTTCAAACTTTGTCACATCACATAGCAATTTGCTGAATGTACGTGACAATGATACGAGCTTGTGCTCGAATCTGATTTGTTGAATCCGTTCTCACCGCGCAAGTCACAAAAATTAGTTATCATTAGTCTCGTTATTTATTGTGAAGTTTGTAAAGCGCGCGCAGTCAGCATTAACCACTTGTAAGGCGTACTTGCTCCCGAGTTTCATCTTAATTGAAAGAAATAGTGCTGAGCATAGTCTTGCTTACGCATCGTGAAATATACATAACGCTTATCATGATGTCGCGAATCGCGATTATCATCGCTTTATGCGTTCTACTCAGCGAAGCAAGCAACTTAAATGAAGTGAAAGATACATTCTGGAACAAAATACAAGAGAACGTTGAGACGAGTAAGACAAAGGATGAGTTATATAAATCTGTCGAGTTCCCGACGCGTTCAATTGGGTTCGACGATGATCGAGAGGTTCAGCTGAGAAGTCGTACTCAGACGTTACAGAATTTACCACCGGCTGTAATGGCAAGATACATCGTTAATCAAGCTGGTAATCAATATGATAGCATTAGCACCTACCAAATAATAAGTTTTCACGTTAATAAAATAACAGTTATTTAATAAAGTAAAGATTGAGTAGTTAAAAAGTTAACAATTTTAAATTTAATTTGGTTAATTTCAAATGAGGGATAATAAATAACTTGAGTCACCGTAAAATACACAATAAAAAAGACTACTTCCTCTACTGAAAGAAATAATGTTACAACGTTACATGATGAAATTAAAAAAGTAATTAATACGTAAATAAAATTAATATGTAAATCACGTAATGAATTATCAAATCAGTACGTGATTTAAAAATTACGTATTTTAAAATGTTATATGATGATATGTACTTTTTTTTTCTACTGTTTTGTTTTTGTGTAGTCGTAAATATAAGAATGTTATTTTCAGAAGAGAACAAAGAAAACAAAGAATTACAAATTTTTCAAATCCATCTGAAAAGATTAGAATTGTAATTTGTTGCATAGAAAAGGGATATGTGTTTTATAAAAATGATTCAGCTTTATGTACCATTAACATACGTACCTATTTATGCATTCAGTATTATATGGATTTATGTATTGATAGATTGGGGGGCTATAGCGACGATAAGCACAAGAAAGGATATTCCAAGCTTTCCCGTTGCAAATTTGGTCTCCATCGCCGATGGGCCTGTTGGAAGCGGTACTGGAATACCATACATGTATCTCACCCCTTTGGACTATACTGCTCAAGATCTTGCTGTAAGTATTGATAGTGTTATATCGAGTGTTGAAATAAATATACGTATTGCATGGAAAAAGTATTTAATTATATATATGAGTATATATATATATATATATATATATATATATATATATACATATACATATATATATATATTTTTTTAAAGTTATCTGATATAGGTATAACAAAAAGCATCTGAAAAATTTAGATACTTTTTAGGTACTTCTAACAAAAAAAAGAGAAAAAATATAAAAAGGCAAACAATAGTTGCATAATCATTTATTTATTTTTCAATTGTTGATGTAATGTATAATTTGTTTATAGATTAAAAAATTAGATTTTTGTCGCGTACTTTTTTTACCGCATCACATGATCACTCTCTGTTTATGAGGTTCTTTAGTCACCATGCATTTACTAAATACTAAGAACTAAAATTACTTAGACGGTGAAGCAAATAAAAACATTGCGCAAAGTTAAAAATAAGAGAAAAACATCATTTCACTTAACGACAGATGCGATTGGTCAATTCCAATGAATGGATTAATCATTGATTAGAGTTAATCGGAGTTGATCGAAGTGACCCTTAGCTTAATTAAGAATACCTAGAATTAAGTATCTAGGTATCTAGATACTTTTATTTAAATACGTATCGTTCTAACACTGGAATCCAATTATTGGCCGTCACACATATACTATACATTGGCTGTGTTCCAAAATTCGCTGCCAATGTCGAAAATATATAGTAACGTCATCTGTAGATTTGCAACGCAGTATATTTTGAAACACAGCATTGTACTATATATACGTTATACATTACATATATTGTATTGCACATTTTATACTGTTTAATAAATCATTTACAAAGGGTTTATAGAGATTGAAAAATGTAAAGGATAATACAATAATCCTATTAAAATGTGTGCTAAAAGACATCCTATCAATCTGATAATTACATTTTTATCTCTTAATAAGTTAATAATCAAATTTTTTTTAACTATACAGAATATACATGCATGATATCAAAATGATTTTGCAACAATTTTTTTAATTACATTATATAAATGTTAGAAAATGTTACCAGAATTTATTGCGCATACTGATATTTTTTTATCAATTAAAAAATACTTGATATTTTTTCCAGTTTGAAATGATCAGATTTAATATTTAATTATATTTTCACAAATATAATTTACAAAATAATCGCTATCATATCACGTTTGGATATCATGCATGTTGTTTACAATTAAAAAAATTTTGATTACTATCTTATCACACAAATTACATTTGAAAAATTTTAATAATGTCTTATCACGAGATAAACCATAGCTTTAATTATACAGAATTTTGCTATTTGAAAACAAATTAAATTATATAATTATTTAATTCGAAACGTGATGATAACGATTATTTTTCATTATCAAACTGAAAAAGATATCACGTTCTTTTTAACTGATATAAGATATCAAAATTTTTTAAGTAACTCTAACTCATCTGTCTCATCTAAATTTTTATTATAATTATATGATGTCAGTATATACTTACGATCGTTACAGAAAGATCATCGCGCAACTGTGTTCATATCATTAGCTCAAGGAGACTATTGCAAAAATAAAGGATATGATCCGATGGACCCACGATGCGCTAGAATTCTTCTAAGTGGAAAGATTAAAGCGGTCAGTAAATCATTCACTTATACATATATTGTGCATTATTTTTATATTTTTTTATTTGTTGCTAACATATTCAATATTTTGACAGGTGAAAAATGAGACTCATGAAGTTGTGGAACAATTATTTTTCGATCGTCACCCACAACTACGTAATATGCCCGCAGGTAAAATTATAAATGGTACATTTCACTTGGCTTTTGCAACACTTGCAAGCACATTTGTGCTTGTTTAATATTTGATAAACAACAAAAGTGAAATGATTAATTTCAAGAATATTGCGAGCGCCAAATGGAATGCAGCCTACAGTCTCTCCATATATTATCTAAAGAATTTTATTTTTATTGTATACTAAGATTATTGATGTCCATATATATTTCTACCATCCCAGCAAACGAGAATGGATTGAAATGAATTGAAATGGATTCAGATTTTCAGAAATATTAATTCACGAATATTAAAATGAATGCATTTCAATTCTGAATGTATTTGTACTCATTTATAGGAATTGCATGGAGCATATTTCTATGCCTTTCAAACTAAAAATAATATTAGCTTTTTCTGCACACTAACACACAACATACACAATTGTGAATACTGTTCAATTCAAAATTTTGAATAGGAAATGCAGTTTTTCAATCCAATTGCATCCAACTGAATCTAATTGAATCCAATTGAATCTCATTAAATCCAAAAAAAGTATTTACTATTTATATATATATATAATTGCATTCGGATAGAAAAAAATTTCAATCCATTTTAATCTATTCTCGTTTGCTGGGATGTAGATTAACTTTATTAATGTCATTTATAAATTATATTTTTGTTAACTTATACTTTTTATCTTCTAGTTCTAAGAATTAGAAAAAAGATACAAAAAATAAATTAAACTAAGATTAAAATTGATAAAAATAGAACTATATTGCATCATTTGTTTGCACAGATCACAAATTCTTTTTCGCTGAATTGGACATATCGACAATCGCCTTATTGGACACCTTCGGTGGACCGAAATACATTTCCGTTGATGATTACTTAAATGCACCGACCATCCGCAGAGATTTTGGTTTGCGTCGTAGAAAAATTATTTTTAATAAATCTGCTGTTTGATAAAATTACTTTCTATCAGAATCTAAAGATCCTAATGATTCGAATTCCCGAAGCTCAATATTGGATCTTCTTTAAAAAGAAATTTTAAAAACTAATTAATATTTTTATATCTAATGTAAGAATATACGTAAAAACTATTCGTATTACTGAATTTCTGGTACTGAATTACTGGTTTATTACAAATTTAATTAATATTTGCGGTGATTTACTTATACACACATATATATATATATATATGTATGTGTGTGTATATATATATATATATATATATATATATAGTTATATACATATATGTTGATAAATTAACATATGTAAAAAACTCAACGAATTATTTGATTCTTTTATTTAATTGATGAAATCTTATTATTATTATATCTGCACCCTATTCTAATCGAAGAAGGACAATTACAAGCATTATTATATAAAATAAAGGTTTCTATTTTTTAAAACTTAATTTAATTTGTTTTTTATTCACACCATTTTTTGCGTATGATATATAGATATATTTTCGTATAATTATTCGCGTAAAATTGCAGAGATGTCTCATCATAAAGATTTATCAAAATCTTTCATCGTTTTCTGTAAACACATTCGTATATATATTCTTTTTTTTTCCTATTCAAATAAAGGGCTCCAAAATACATACCATAATTCGAGAATAGTCACGTAATTTGTGGCGTTCGCTATTACGTTTACGCATGCGCATAGTGGTGATTTGATTCCACTATGCTCATCGCAGCGCACCGAAAGTTTTGCCGGAACGAAATTTTCTCATTTGTACCAATGTGCACCAATGTACGCTGAATTGCACTGAATTTATACCACGTGTCGCACGTGGAGTTTATTTTACGGTTCGGTATACCTACAGAAATACGTGAAAGTACAATTTTTTTTAATTCAATTGAGGTATATTGATGTGAAAGGTATAAATTTTGCAAAACAATTTACTTTTAATCAGTATAATAATTATGGAAACCTTTGTTGACAGTTTACTTCTATAAGAGGTTATGTCTTTCCGTGGACGCGGCGGTAGAGGAGGCGGTGGTTTTAGAGGTGGTCGAGGAGGCGGAGGATTTAATAGGGGACGTCCTGGTGGTTTTGATAAGAGCAGAGGGTAATTTTATGAATATTGTATTAATAATCTGCATAAAATGCGTCAGACAAATTTGTCGAAAATTAGGTTAGGTCACAAATAAAACTCCAAGGCAATAAATGTTTTTTTTGCTGCAAATTTATTGTAGGTATGATCAAGGTCCTCCAGAAACAGTAACGCTATTAGGACATTTCACATGGACAGTAGAAAATGATTTAGTTCTTAAGGTCGACATCGAACAGATACCCTTTTTCAATGCTCCGATCTATACAGAGAATAAACAGCAGATTGGGAAAATAGACGAAATATTCGGGAACATTCGGGACTACTATGTGTCTGTTAAATTATCGGAAAATGTAAAAGCCTCTAGCTTCCAGAAGGATGTTCAGGTATTATAATATTAAAATTAGATAGAAACATTCATATATAAAACTACTAAGTATTCTAAAAGATTTTAAGGGATGACGCCTCACCCAATTTCTCATGAAAATTTCAAATAATTATTTCTCTGAAACAGCTTAGTATCAAAGATACAAGATGTCAGAATTAAGGAAAAATTTCATTTTTTCCAAAAATTTCAAAAATTGGATTATTTTATTGAATCTGTGTGTGTGTAAAGTTTCATCAAAATAACTTAAATGATTTTCGAAATTTTTAGAAAAAAAACATTTTCTTCCAACACTGACTTCTCTGACACTGTATTTTTGTAATTAGCTGTTTCAACTATGTAATATTAAGTTTTCATTGAATTATATGAGAAATTATCTCTTAAAATCTTTTAGAATACTTAATGTAATCACCCTATATATTTTATAGCGAATTCACTTCTACTACACTAGATTAGTACATACTAAAAGCTGCTATATGTAAAATTAGCCAAATTAAATATAACGATATACAAATATTTTAAATGATCTACTACTTAATAATGATATTATTACGTTATTTAACAGAATGTAAATATACTATTTCATTGTCAAAATTGATTAAATTATGCCACTGTATTTAGATAGTTCATATAAAACAGTCTTTAATGTGTAATTAATCCAGTATAGTTTGAGACCATCAATTCATCATTATTGAAATATGATTACATTATTCACTGTGAATATCGAAAATTTGTAGTATGCATAACATGAATTAGATTTTTAGTATTCACAATAAATAATAAACACAGTCATGAGTGTCTGAAACAAAAATTCTTTTATTTTAAATTTCTTATAAAATCTAAACATGTGTGGAATAAGAATCGGAATCAAACCAACAATTACAAGTCTTTTTCATATGAAGTCATGCATCATCCCAGAAATATTTGTATACAAATTCTACATAATTCTTGTCTGTTGATTATAGTTGTATATCGACCCAGCAAAACTGCTGCCTCTTCAGAGGTTTTTGCCGAAACCTCCTGGAGAACAGAAAAGAGGCGGTGGTGGTGGCAGGGTCATGAAAAGAGGTGGTGGAGGCAGAGGAGGTAGGGGCGGCGGCAGGCCATCTTTCGGAAGAGGAGGAGGTGGTGGCTTCGGAAATAGAGGTGGCAGCAGTGGAGGATTTAGAGGTCGCGGAGGAGGCGGTGGATATAATCGTCCCAATTCAGGTGGAGGTCGAGGAGGAGGGAGAGGAAGATGGTAGATTTAAAATTAATATTAGAATTTTAATGTTAGAATAATATCTTATGTACTATAAAGATAAACATTGTAAATGACAAAAATGATTAAATATTTTATACGATTTACTCAGTTAATCTTGTCAAATTTTCTTTAATGATTTCAATGTACTAATAGCAATACCATTATTTATATACATGTACATACATATACACAATATATGTGGACTTATATGAGAACAATTTGAAAACTTCGCAGTCTAACAATAAAAGCATATACTTTTAGGTTTTAAATTACTTTCATTTTCTAATTGATGTGCCTCAATTTTAATACAATGCTTTTATGCATTGAAACATATAAGGTTTGTTTGCGTTACATGAAATTTTCAAAAAATGTTTACACTTAGACAAGATTTAAGATCTGCTTATTTCTATTAGACACACACACACACACACGCGCGCGCGCACACACACACACACACACACACACACACACACGCACACACTGTACATATACCGATAGTATTAGACTGCACTGAAACTCTTTCTCGCTTTCGCGAAATATTAAAAATATTTAATATCAAAAATATTGATCTTATTTTAAGTTCCAAAAATGTATACTATTTCAGTCAAAGAAAACACTATATATTCAACATAAATCTTATATATTGATCTTAAATATCAGACCTGAGCCAGGTTGCACATATCGACTGATTTTGCCAACATCATTCCTACTCCTTTTTGTTTCATAGCATTTAAACTGTGCGTGGATATAGGCTGCGTTCCACTTAACGCTCATAATGCTCGTGGAATTATTTCATCCTTGTTGTTTATCAAATGTTAAACAAGGACAAACGATGCTCGCGAGCATTGCGAGCATTAAATGAAACGCAGCCAATAGAACGATTGAATTCAGGGACGATATTAGCTATAAACCATATAAGGGCCATAGAACTTTGATACATATTGCCCTGCGTTCACTGTTTACAGTTTTATTATTGTTATTATTTGAATGTTAGAAAATCAAAGTAACTCTTCAAAATCAGCTCCATGTTATCTATTGACACTGACGAAATACTATTAAAAACCATCAATCCTGGGCAAATTTTCGGCGATATAAAAAGGGCCCCCAGGGTTCGGAAGTAATTGAAGAACGCTGACACTATCGTCAATTGATATAAATTTGCTATTATTAATATAAATATTAATATATTATTAAATTCATGATTTTTATATTACATAAATGCCCCATAAATATGCATACTTGTAAAGCTATAATCCTATATATTGCCGAAAAATTACAATTTTTTTCTCTACAGTTACTTCTGTTGATAATCAAACTTTAACGGTAACACTGAAATTATCATTTTAAAGAAAAATCGAATATTATTGAGCTTTAAATGCATGTACATCGATAAACACGTCTACAGAATTAATAAATCATAAAATTAGTATAGTATCAGTTTTTTACTCTTAATCACTTCAATACTAACAAGGATGCGAACTCCCGTAAGGATGTCGATCTTTAATAATATCTTGTTGGTGATATCGATGTTATATAAAATCTATGGCATTCAAATGTTGAAAAAAAGAGAGAAAGCGAAAGAGCTTAATATATAGTGCGAACAAATATAGATTCACAAGCATAAAGCGTATGTGAATGGATCAATGCTTGTTTTATCACGCCACAAAGTGATTTGTCAGCATCTTTATGAATTAGATCGCGAAGTTTTCAAATTGTTCTCGTATTATAGCAAGCGTCTCTATCGAACCCATCGTTAACTGACTAAAGCGAAATAATATGTTCTCATTGGTAGTACACTGAAAAAGTTACATCGGCCGAAGTGAGTGGATGTATTCAACCGGAATGTGCATATTTGGGACGTATGTGTGTACATATACTTAATTAACTGAAATTATAAAAAGTTGAATAATATCGTAAGTTAATCTTGATCAAACTTTATACATTTTCCAAGTTCTTTCTCTGCTCGTTTGAGCAATTTATCACGCCCCCTTTGCTTGACTCTTTTCTTTTTACTCAATTTTTCCATCCTATCTTCCGCTATCTTGTCCCAATACAATTTTTCTTCATCTCCTGAAAAATTAACACATAAAGTTGATAACAAATATATTGTTATAATATGTAAGATATATCTTCTAAATATATTTTTACCTTCTAAAATAGTTAAATGTCTTCCTTCGTAATTCTGCTGCGCAAATGTTTGCGCAGCTTCTGCTGTATCGCATCTTATATAGGCTTCACAAGAATCAACTATTACATCTACATATTTTACAGAATTGTTGTCTTTTAACTCCATCTGAAATTTTAAATACATTTTATATATATATATATATATATATATATATATATAATACCTTACATTTATAAAGTTCTTATTAAAATTAAAGATACAACATTTAATTAAAAATTTTTTTTCTAATGATATAAATGTACCTTGAAACTTTGCGTATCTGTGCAAGGCTCGTCCATTTCAATTTTTACTATAATTCCTGGCGCATAATTAACGCGTCCACAAGACTTTTCTTCAAATGTTTCATTATCGTTTTCATGTTTTGATTTATCATGTAATGTATTAATCTGTCCAGTTTTATCATGGTATCCATTTTTTATAATTCCGTCTCGTTCCACTTCAGCTTTTCTCAAATGCATTTTTAGCTGTTTCATTTTATATCGTTGCAAATCTAAATATCTATTTCTAAGACGCTTCCAATCTAATTTTGCCATTATTTGCAATCCTATTTTACTACAAATATCATTGTCCTGAATTTTACTTCTCTTTTTTCTGTTCTTTTTCTTCTTCCTTTCATCATTAGTTTCCTCGATATCGCTATTTCGTGCGCCGAAATCGCTTGTGGAATGTTTTTCAGTTTGTAATAAAGCACTTGACTCGTCGTTGTCGTCTTCATGTGGATATTCCAATTCTGTTGTTTCATTTTTATTTGAATTTATCGCTGATTTTTGACATTCCTTTTTTACTGCTTCTTCACCGTTATTTTCTGTAGTGATTGTATCGTTTAATGTAAGTCTTCTCTTCTTTTTTTCTGTAACTTTATTGCGATTTTTATTCGGAATTTCTTGATTTTCTATACTATTTCCAGTGACTTTGCTGTCCTTTTCGTCTGCAATATATGATTTTTCTGGAGCAAGTTTCCTTTTCTTTAAGTTTTGTCGACCATTATTACCTGCTGTATTTGTTTCGTCATCGTAGGCATTATTCTTATCTTCAGATTCTTCTTTTGGCATCATTTCTTTCTCATCTTGCTGATCTATTGTACTTTGATCTACAGTTTTTCTTCTTTTTTTCATTTTAACATCATTTTCATCTACAACAAGCGATTTTTCCAGGACATATTTTTCTTTCTTTAAACTTTGTCTATCATTATATGTTACATCATTGTCACAAGTATTATCCTTTTCTTTAGATTCTTCTTTTAGTACTTTGTCTTTTTCATTCTGTTGATACGTTATATTTTGATCTGTGGCTTTTTTCTTTTTCTTGACTTTAATGTCTTTTTCTTGACTTTCATCTGCAATAAACAATTTTTCCGAAGAATATTTTCTTTTTTTTAATTTTTGTTTGCTATTGTTATCTGTCGCATCTGTTTCATTATCAAGAGTATTATTCTTGTCTTCAGATTCAGATTTTGATATTTTCTTTCCTTCATCTTGATCTATTATATTTTGATCAGCAGCTTCTTTTTTCTTTTTCTTAACTTTAACATCGCTTTCGTCTGTAATAGATTTTTCCAAAGAATATTTTCTTTTTTTAGAACTTTGTTTGCTAGTATTATCCTCTATATCTATTTCACACATGTTATCTTTAGTCTCAGTTTCTTCTTCTTCTGTCGTTAGTCTCTTCAAACGAAGTTCTTTACGGCCAATATTTCCCACTTCTTCGTTGGATGCCTTTTCGTTTTCATTATCTTTCAATCTTGTCTTAGTTTTTGAATTTATTACTTCAATTACTGCATCTTTATTAGGTTCATCAAATGTCGTTATACTTAATAACTCATTGGGAGATATATATGATGGCAAGACACCTTTCTTTTTCCGGAATGTCTGTAAAATAAAATATTAAACTATATCATGTCACTAAGTGTGATGGAAATTAACAATCATTTTCCACATCTGTAATTATAGGTCTTATAATTATATTCGCTTTACTTGAAATTCCCCCTAAATTTTTGAACTTAAAATAGATAGATATACATTTGGACAGTTGAAAACAAAAAAAGCAAAGACACTGAGTACAAAAAGTGCATGCAACGTGAACAGACTTTATATTAGGTAACCATTGATAAATATTATTTCTCTTACCTTAATACATTCTTCAGCACTACTAGGCTTATCAAATTCCACAAATGCAAATCCTTTTATCTTCCTGTTGCTTCTGTAACGTGGAATCGAGACATATTCTACTAATCCATATTTAGAAAAAATAGATATCAACCAATCGTGATCCGCATCTGGAGGTAAATTTTGTACATAAATTGTACACTGATCAATATCTCTCTTCTTCTGAATTGGTGTTAATCGACAGACCTTTGTACCATCCTCTGATACCTTCAACATAGTCGATCCCTGCAGAGCCTTAGCTATCCTGTTTATATCTGTGGTCAGCTCGCGCAATTTATTAAATCTTGTGAAAACTTCAAGATCCACATCTAAAAGACCAGTATAGTTACAATTAGAATTTCGATTTAATATGATTAAGAAAAGATTTATTAAATTAAAGGATTATCTTAGATCAAAGTAAAAAAGAAGAAATATTTACAAGGATTTTCTTTCAAAAGTCCTGACAAATAACGATCTTTGTTCAAGTTAGCGTCACTGAAATAAAACTCCATTTGCTTAAGTATCGAGGCATGCAATGCCTTCTTTCTCAACCTTGGTTTACCACGCGACACGCCTGGCTTGTTGTTACGTTTAACTGTATCAACTATTGGCTCCTGTATCTGAGGAACCGGTATACTTTCCGAAGCTAATTCCATATCTGATTCCTCCATCACCATTGTATTCTCAAAAGAACATACACCTTTCTAGCAAAATAATGTTCACGTACTGTAAGAAGATTTAGAAGTTGGTGTTCGCGTTAATATATACTTTCTATTTTATTCATACTCACCAGTTGTTTATAATGCAAGTTAGATCACGAAACTACAGTATATATTGTATATATTGTGACAAAAGTTCGTTAAGAAACGCATACAATCTTCTTTTGGCCGGATGGATTGCCAATTTCACTTACAAATCGAAGAACCACGCTTCCAAAACTCATACAATCATGTTCTCGTTCTAGAATAATTCTAAAATCTTTTGATTGATGAATAGACGCAGCAGTCCCGCTGTAATAGGACGCTATTTCATTTGTGCGTTTTTGTCGTACGACAAATGGTATAGAACAGAGAGGTTCGGATATTTCTATTCTATAGCCAATCAACAGGCTTGAAAAATTTGTTGTGACAAAAACGCACAAATGAAATATCACCCATAGATATGAGGTCTATTCGCGCGTTGTGGCGCGTTGCTTGCACTTTTTGCACTCACAATCTTCGCTTTCTCTCTTTTTAACGTCCGAATACATATCTTCATTTTAAGATCAAAAATTTTTGGGGATTTCAAGCAACGCAATAGGTGTAGCATACTGGAACAGCTAATCAAAATTGTGCTCAAATTCACTCTCCTACATACACGGGAATGCTTCACCTTATTTACAAATTTATATCATGAGGTTTATTCGCATTGTTTGAAATTGCTTAAAATCTCCATAATAAAATTTTTGCACTTATGTACAGTCAATCACAAAAAGTTGCAACACCTTTTTTTCGATGGGTTTCGGAATGTAATCTACTCATCAAGCGATTGGTTCTTATTTGTAGATCCATGAATAAGAACCAATCGCTCGGTGAGCAAGCTGCATTCCGAAACTTATTGAAAAAGTATTGCAACCTTTCTGTGACCGGCTGTACATACATTAGGTCTGTTTTTATTGTTGTACTTTCTGATGTGGTACAATCGTCGACTAAAAGGATTCATGAATAAGAGAACCAATTATTCGATGAGCAAGCTGCATTCCGAAATCCATAAAAAAAAAGTATTGCGATCTTTTTGTCCCTTATCGTACACAGTGCAGCAATAAAAAATAGACCTATGAATAAAACGTTCTTCCGCGATCGGAACGATAATCAAGTGAGAAATCTCTCGCGGATGTCGTAAGATTTTAAAGCTTTCTATCTTTCGGTAATTCCACGTATTTACCAATCGCTGAGCAAATACCGGCTGTGATAATAAGCGAACTGATGATACCAACTGTGATACCTACTCCATTGTCCATCAGTTCATGTTTCCTTCATAATTCCCTCCATCATGGTGAATAATGGGAATGACTCACTTTCTTCTTTCCACCATGATAGCAATCATAGCGACCGTTAAGTAAGCACGTGTTGCGAGATGTTGAGTGCGTTTCGGGTTGTTTAGTAGACAATCATAAAAATTTTTGCAAAATTGTTGCGTTATGCTGAATGCAACCATGTTTTTTAAAAAAAAAGTAGTCAACATTACTGATTGAATAATCACTACATAGTGCCTATCGAGCGCTTGCTGTCCTATGGCTCCTTAACTGTACCGTGAAACTGCTGTTTTCAACATAGGTTGTGTTCCAAAATTCACTGCGCTGAAAATCTAGTTACGTGATTGTACATTTTAAACACTAATAGTGAATTATGGAACACAATTATAATAAGTCTGTAGTAAGTAATAATTCTGTTGATTAGAATTAACTCGACTCTTGACTGGAATAAATATTATTTACATTGGCTTTGTTCCCATATTCACTGCTAGTACTGATCTATGGCAGAAGTGATGTACACTTTGGATTTTCAGTATTGGCAGTGAATCGCAACACAATGATATTCTATTACTATTGTTATATATAATATATACAAATATTTACAAATTTCTAAATTAGTCAATAAGTTAATTATTATTTTTAGATACACAAGATTCTATTGCACAAGCATCCCTTATGCCTAACTCTGCCTTAAATTCTTTTATAATAGATTATCATAGTCCTTCATTTATATCATAAATTAGAATTCACAAGATACAAATGGCAGATTGGCTAGTATTGGAGATGTACTATTGCAAAGTTATGAATATAGTCATTTCAATCATTATCCAGTAGATTTATGATCAAGCAGAATAGCTGTTGAGGTTAAATGAGATCGAATATGATTGGGATCATTTTATTCAATCCACATTCAATCACAATTTACATGATCCTAAGATGCTGGGCTGAACAGTCACTTTTGTGATCTAGGATTCCAATTTGCATCCTTGTAAATTAAAAACTTTATTGATTATATAATTTATTCTCTAATATAAATTGTATTGTTTTTTTTAGACAATGGCCAATATTCATAGTCGATTAGAAGACAGTTTTAAAATGTCTTATAATGGTTTTTGGTTGTCAGCCATTGACATCTTAAAATTGTTCTATAAGATTCGATTATGAATACCATCCAAGTCTGTTTTTTTAAGAAAACTTTTTTTGCTCTTGGTTACTATGCTGAAACAATTTAATTTTGTATTATTTTGTATCAACCTGTATATACTATTGAATAAAGATTTTGCTAAAATTAAACTATGTTGATCTATTCTTACCAGATTAGGGACAGGAAACACTTTCTTCACCAGTATCAGACTATCAGATCCTCTAGTACGAGGATCCGAAATGCTCATCTATATTCTATTTTTATATAGGAATCATATCGAAAACAAGTGCTTTCGGGAACTGAAGGATTATTCGCATAATTAATTTGATTTCCGAATTCAAAGACAAATTTGATAATAAATTTTATTTAAAGGCGAATAATTAGTTATGCAATTTGCTAAAATTTTATAAATTAATTAACATAAGCCTTAATATAACTTTAATAATTAATTTAAATAATCGTTTAAATACAAAGTGATAGACATCATGTGGTTGATAATTGAACTAAAGTTTCATCTGCGAGCGCTATTTTTACATACCAAAATCACACATACTCATACAAAGGATACGCGATATCATTTCGTCCTTGTCATCAAACATTAAACAAGGATGAGATGATATAATGACGCGAACATTGCAAACGTGTGTTAAGTGAAACATATCCCTAGTGCATATATGACAAAAAATAGGTTCGAATGTGATAACTTTATTATTGACATATACATTAATATATACAATAAAATACACAGAGATGCATGAGTAATACACTTCCATACTATAAGTTTTGCAGTAAATATTAAATAAGTACAATATTAACATAGTAATGAAATATTTAATATATATATTACAATAGTAGGCAAGATAGATATACTACACAAATCTGGATGCAATCACTATTAGTATAATCTGCTTCTTTGCTGTAAGTCTGTTCTTTCATTTTCGTTCAGAGTCTGTATGGAATGGACCTGTATTCTTATACCTAGAGATACTTTTGCCGTTGTTATCCATGAGTACCAGATTGTTGCTATCAAACTTGGGAACTTTAAGGGTCTGTTGCTGTTTCAATCCAACCAGTATACCCTTTTTCTTGTCCTTTATACAACTAAATTCTATCACCTGAATAATTCGTACAGCAATGTTTAAATAAATTTGATTCTATAAAATAAAAATTTTACATAGTTCTTCATTTATTGTCTTACCGATGTGTCCTACCTCACGTTTGTTGTAAACGTGTATGCAACGTGATGGTTTATCCTCCATCATAGTTTGTCTTTCTATCTCGCTGTTGTCCATTACTCTCAATCGACTCAATTGGATTCAATTTAATTATTTGATTCACAGGGATTGAAATGTTTCTGCTTGCAATATTTAACACTGCAAAAGGTGACAATATTATCATTTTTTCTCCCTTCAGGATAATCTGAAACATCAAATAATATAAAATTACATAAAGTATTTAATATTATAATAACATTCTTGGTAACATAACCTCACTCATAGCAGAAAGAAGATAAACAACATAAATTAAACGAATTCTCTTTTTTCCTCAGACATTTTTTATGATATTTACCGTAAAACACAAATTTTTTCTTTGGCAATTCTAATTCTAAAATCAATTTGGAGTTTTTAATCGTGATAACTTCTCCGAGATGATAGAAAGCACAATAATTTCTTATATTGTAGTTTGTTTTCTGTTCCTGCACTAGACTGCATTAGCACTTTCTTTCTCACTTTCAACTAATATCAAACATATACCTATCTCACTTCAAATTTCAAAAGTGTACACTAGTTCAGCCACAGAAAACAGGGTATCAATTATGAAACTTTATCCCTAGGATGAAAAGTGAAAAATTTCTCCATTAATTTCAATGGTAAAAATTTTCACTTTCCATCCTAGGAATAAAGTTTCATGATTGGCTGCGTTCAGCGAACTCAACAATTGAGTAAGCGCTCATTGTTATTGCTGTATTCTTTTATCATCCAATCAGTATAATATTTTAGACCTGGAAGGATACATCATAGCAATGAGCGCTCACTCAAGGCTGCGCTTAGGAATTACGTCTAGATAACTCTAGGGTGCATTTTTGTTATAATACAATACAATATATTGTACGTGATGTTCAGGAATTACGCCCAGATAACTCTGACCTATAGCTTAAAGTTATCTAGGCATAATTTCTGAACGCAGCCTAACTATTGAATCCGCTGAACGCATTGATATCCAGACCTAATTGCGCACAAGCCAATCACAGCGTTAAAAAAAAAAATAATCCAAAACTCCCTACGCAGAAATCACATTAGTGTACACTTTTAGAACTCAAAGTGAGATAGATATAAGTCATATTTGATATTTGTCGAAAGCGAGAGTTCTAGTACAGGAACAGAAAATAGACCACTAGTTTACATTGTGCTTGATATAGGTATTAATTAGTAACTTTCTATTGATTTATCTTAATTTCATGTATAAACACAATAACGAGATAAATACAATATACAATATATTCGAACTTAAAAAGAGACAAAGCGTAGATGCTAAGTGCAAAAAGTGCAAGCAACATGAACAGACCTAATGGCGTTTTGTCTGTTTGCGCATCAGTGTATGCTGTGAAATTGCACGGGTAAATCGGCCATTTTTGTTGAACGTGTTTCTCTACAGCGTTTCAATATGAAGTAAGTTGTGGTTTTTTATGAAAAATACATATCCGATGTGCTCGGTGCGATCCCATTGTATGCAGGAGGGAAACACCGTGCAATGCACCAATATGATGTCCGTAATTAATTCACATATGATATTTCCAGGATCGGTTTGTGCGCGTACAGCGGGTACAAAATTTATCCGGGCCATGGCAAGACCATGGTCAAAGTTGACGGAAAGGTGAGTACCATTAAGATCACAATGTAATATCAACAAAATAATGATGTAAGTAGGATAATCGAACATCATGACGTTTCCCTAATATCACAACGCATCCTGTATTTACTCAATCATCTGTTATTGCACGTGTTGGCGTAACCAATTTTAGTCTCATTTCCTTAGACTTTCACCTTTCTCAACTCAAAATGCGAGTCCGCACACTTGATGAGGCGAAATCCTAGGAAAGTGACATGGACCGTTTTATATAGGTAAAGATATATGTCAAACCGATGTATGATTTTTCGAGCTTTAACTGTTATTAATGGAATTGTGATTTGTCTTTCAGACGTAAACATAAAAAGGGTCAAGAAGAGGAGCAAACCAAGAAGAGGACGAGGCGTGCACAGAAATTCCAGCGTGCAATTGTAGGTGCTTCTCTCACAGATATCTTGGCTAAACGTAATATGAAGCCAGAGATTCGTAAGGCCCAACGAGAACAGGCAATCAAGTATGTATTCGATTATCTCTATTTGTTAAGAAATTAATTATTTTAATTTAGAAATGATAGTAAGTCTGTTTACATTATTTATACTTTTTATTCAGCATCTTTGCTTTCTCTGTCTCTCTTTCTCCTTAACATCTCTCCAACATGAATATATATTTAAGTTTGTTCGCATTGTTCTTTTTGCATTCAATATCTTTGCTTTCTTTTTTTTCAACATCTGAATATTTATCTGAATATTTATTTTATTTTGAGTGTAACATTTTTAGGAATTTTAAGTAATGTGAATGACCTATTATATTAAATAGTAAATATATAAGATGTTTTTTAATATGATACCCATCAATAGTAGATTTCTGAGATCATTTTGAGACAATTCTAATACTAAAGTCATGGCTGCAATAATTTTTAAATGATAACGAGTTTAAAGTTAGCTAATTGAACTGAGAATTGATGCTTGGAAACATCAAGAATCTACTATTAATGAGTGTCATACGAGATCTGGTATTTTATATGCATGTCACAATAGACATCTGTTCCTCTGACGAGGCCTTTTTTGCTTCGTCAGATTTCAGAACGTCTTAAAATAAAACTGGATTGCTTCACCCAGAACTGTATCTTGCAATTACATTGTCTGGCTTTTGCGGATTCATATAATATTATTACATTGATGTAACATTATCTAATGTTAAAATAATGTCGTTTAATTGATTCATTTGTTTCTTTTTTCTCAGGGCTGCAAAAGAACAAAAGAGAGCTGCAAAAGCAACGAAGAAGGCTGTTGCTCCTCCGAAAGCGAAACAAGTAGCAAAACAGAAAGTTGCTAAAGTGACGCAAAAGTCCGCACCTCGCGTTGGAGGAAAACGTTAAAGTCTGTAGCTATATAAATAAAATAAAATATTTCATTTTGACTTATGTTTTTAAATTATATAATTAAAGGAATAATTTTAAGATTGCTAAAATTTCAAATAATACGTATATCTCGATTATTAATATATATACAACACGTATTTAATTTTTACAATCGAAAAAAAATATATCTTGCATTTAATCTAATAAGAATAAGATTACCGTTTATAAAACAGATACATCTATATACCTATGTACAGCAAGCTTACTGTTTTCTGTCTGTAACGGTAATGAATTCAGTCAAATTAAAATATAAAAATATTAATATAAAAAATTATCGAAGATTTATTAGGTGTTGGAATTAATTCGTAGCGTTTTACAAGTGATGGGAAGTACTTTCATTAATGTATTTTTTAATGCTCATGTGAAATAAATAACATTCTTTCATTAAAAACGCTACGAATTAATTCCAACACCTAATAAATATAGAAAAGTTTACTATAAAAATGAAAGCTTGGAGACTATAGAGAGACTAATTTAGAATTTCAAGTTTTAATATTGATTATTAAGTAATATAATTTTTAAATTTAATATCTTTAATATTGTGAAAAAGTAGCGAATCATTACTTTTTTAGGTAATGATAACGCGTTATTTTTATGAAGTAATGTGTCCAATCCTGCCTGTATGTAATTAGATATGTCTGTTTTATGAACGATTTCAATATTAGCACATCAATTGGATATGTACAATACATAAATTTTTATTGTTTCGTTTGCTCCAACTCTTTCTTAAGTATAGACAACTTCGTCAAAGCGGTATCTCGCCATGCTCGTCGCTTCTGCAATTTGTCGAGCGGACACATCTCGTTCAATTCATTGCTGATCTTCTCCGCCATTTCACCGACGAATCTGGGGGTCGGTCCGAAAGTCATACTCGTATCATAAATCGATTTGTTGTATGTTTCACAATATTTCTTCATTCCTATAAGAAACGTTGCAACGTGAATTGCGTTCCCATGGCAAAACTTCGTTTAATTATTATACAGATAATTCATGACTGGCTCACCTTCGGCATTCAAATGCGCGGCCTCGAACATACCAATGAAAGCGTAACGCATTCCGAGACCTTCGCTCATCACTGCATCAATGTCTTTTACACTTAATACTCCATCAGCCACTAATCTCCAGGCTTCATTTAAGAGTGCATATCTATTGATATGATTCTTACATGAAGTGTCAAGAAATAATCAAACGATAATGATAATTTAAAAAATATGCAAGCAAAATATCCGATTACGTACTGTATTCTGTTGAGCGCAAAACCATCAATTTCCTTGTTCAAAACAACTGGTTTCTGACCGATTTCTATCATGATAGCCTTTGTCTTCTCAGGAATATCAGAACGCGTCCATGGGGCTGGTACAACTTCAATGAGTGGCACGTAATAAGGAGGATTTACCTGTATTTACGACACTATATTATCAAATAATGTAATAAACTGATGTAAATAACCAATACTTTTTTGTCGGATCTTGTTAATTCTTGAGTTATTTAGAAGACTGTGGCATGTTAGTAAGAATTGTCAGTAAGAATTCAAGAAAAAGAACAAGTATGTTTGTTATCTGTATCAGAAGTTAAATCTCTGTAATTATAAACTTAATATATAATCTTATAAATCTTATAATTTTATAAACTTGTTTTTTTCGGATATAATGTAATATAAATATTAATTCTTATATATAAACGTTAATTTGCTAATTGTATAACAAAGATTTTTTTAGCGAAAAAAAATCTATATTACATTTTATATTATAAATAGTTTGAGAATACATACAGGGTGAGAAACGATAACTTGTTCACGGTGTTTCAGCTTTTCGCTGAAAAGAGACGGGCGGAATGTGGACGTTGAAGATGACAGAATCACCTTATTATCTACGATTTTATCAAGATCGTTGTAAACTTTCGTCTTCAAAGAGAGATTTTCTGGCACGCATTCTTGGATCAGTTTTGCTCCCTTCACAGTCTCCTCCAAATCCGATGATCCTACAATGAATCCTCATTAAATTCCGTGACAAATGGAATTAGAAAGATCAGGAAAGCTATCCTATAATATCAATGATAAAAAAATCGATACTATTTTGAATCTTTCAACATGTAACTATTGAAGTCATTACATTTTATACAATCATTTTTGGATTAAGGGATAAGAATAATTGTTGTAGATTAAAATAGAAGAGATAGACAAACCTTTTATCAATTTAAATTGCTGATCCGCTGTCAGTATACCACGGAGAAGGCCGCTGGTTTCGAGACATTTCAATTGCTGACGGATATCCTCCAATGCATTTTTAATTTGATCCTGAACAATATCATAAATAGTTACCTGATATCCTACGCCGGCGAAGAGCATCGCCCAGCTACGTCCGATTAATCCGCTATAATAATATAGCTATTATGATAAAGGTGAAATAATTTTGAAAAGATATGAGACTTACGATATTTAATTTTAAATG